CCTTTAGGGAGAGGATTCGCAAACAAACACTTCATATTCTGCTTGCACGCTAATATATCTCTTAGATCATAATAATTTTTGTCTACGGTTATAAATAATGATTTTCTTGTTCCCATTTTATCCTGCAAACAAATCAAAATATTGACAGAAAAAAACAAAAAAAAAACGTGATTTAAAAGTCACCTAATATTTTTTAAATCTTATTTTAAGCTGTATTTTGCAGTGAGCAATTTTTCACATTTATTTGATTAATAAAAGCTTTATATCAATCTAAAGAAGAAATTAATTTCAGAGTTTTTTTTTTTCATCACATAAAATTTGTCTAATTAATATAGTTATACTTAAAACAATACTTTAAAGTTAGCAAACAAATATGATACTAACGAGCAGGGAAGACATGAGATTCAAGTTATTAGAATCACGATATTGGCAACACTTTGAGCAATGAATTTGTTGTTACGTAGACATCATCACGCACTATATCACGTCGATTTTAATGCTTATTTATATACTTTAATTTTTGGAATAATAACAAAAAAAAATATTTGAGCACCACAACATCTATTAATTTGATTTCACGTTGATAGCTCGTAAATGAACTGATGGACTGAAACCTGTACAATGATAATTAATTATTGATATTAAACATACAACAATTTAACTTTATCAGAAATTATACACATACATTACATGATGCCATAATATAGGGTGAAAATTATAAAAATATCAACAAAAAATGATGCAGAAATCGTAACAAAATTTAATACATACAGCACTTCAAAACATTTAAAGAAAATTAAAAATTATGCTTACAGCACTAAATTCAAATCCTATCTCACTTAGCTAATCTGAATCAGAACACAAGCGTATATTTTACGTGCACAGAATAACATCATCTCTTTATTTATACTTAAAAATTAGCAAAAACCATTTGAAAAGTAAGTAAGAACAGCATAAATTTGCTTAACCTTCTTCTCAACCACAATTTACCACACGGTCTTTTTATTGAAGCAAACGAATTGCGCGAGAAATTAAGGAATTAAAAATGAAGTGGTCTAGGTAACAGGCTGATGTCTCATCGTGATGTGATGCATTTATTTGTATTGAATATGAATGCATATAGTATTAGAAGAAAGTAAAATACAGCAAAAGCTACGTAAAAAGGTCGGAAAGATTATAGAAATTACCGCATACTAACGAAGACTAGTTAGGCTTACAGTAGTAACAAGCGTTTTTCATACTAATCATGTTTTGATAATCGGTTGATTGGTCCAAATTCAAATGAATAATGAAAGTTTATATCCAATTACAGTGTTTAGTAGACTTGATGGATGCAATCAAGTCAGGCAATGCAAAGTTGATTAGAAGTGGTAATCTCTTTCTTACGTCCATCCGTACTGTTCTTCACGCTGCTATCCACTTTGTCGTGCCTGAAAACATGGAGATTGGACGGTGCAACATGATTCAAGTGTATTCTTCTACATTTTCCTCCTTTAACACACACTATTTTATGTTACAATAACTTCTCTATAGATTTCTGTTTTGATTATAACAAAAATGATCATTTTCCTATCATTTTATCGCTAGCTTTTTTACGTATGAATAGAGAAGAAATAAAATTGTCCTGCGCACGTTAAACGTAGCTTATCTTTTCCCTCGAAAAAATACGTGGAAATTAATTTATACAGTATATTCATAAAATATCTTTAAGACTAATTTATTAGCATTTCTTTAAAACAAAAAAATCGGGTAATGATAAAAATGCTTTGTAGTCAAATATATTACGAACCTACTGTTATTAAAACTGGCGTCAAAGTAAGTGGTGAAATACGTGTAGCACTACTTTCATTGAGCATTCTTTCCACAGTTTTTGTTATAGAATTATTAAGTAGTGGTTCAGAACATTTTGGCACTTTATCCAGTAGATTACAAAGATTAGCATGACACTGACATCTTGAAAGAGTTGAGTTATATGGGATACGATAGTGGTCACAGCCTGTAGAATCATCGATTACCTTGAAGTATCACTTAAAATAGAATTAACTTCAGTCAGAGTGATCGCTGAACTATTTATTAGCAAGAAAAAACGCTCAGTACATAAGTTTTTGAGAATTAAATTCAATTTCTTGTTAAAAAATGCTAAAAAATTCATTACCATCGAATTGGTCATCAGTGCATCCAGATATCCAGAAGGGAGATGAACCTCGAACTTCAACAAGGAAACAGTACTGGTGAATAGTACATGTGATGATGGCAGGTTTGCAGCAACTTTTTGCAGATGTCATCCAACTTTGTTCTGATACTTTTTCACCTTGGCAGTACCAACAACTAAGCGAAGTCTCAAAGGTCAAGCAGGGTATAACAAATTCGAACAAAAGTAAGAAATGGTATTTCATCGGAAAGAGCACTAGAAGTTGGCAATTTTTAGTACTAACAATGCTATGGCTGCAAATGAGATCAAGTAAAGTTACTCTTTTAGCTTGTAAATTTTTCTTCTCATATATTTATTTGCTTTTTTTATCATACTAAAAATTAAAAAAGAATTATTAATATATTAAAATAATGTGCCGATTTTTCATGACTATATTGAAATAGTTTATATTGCTAAGTTTTGTTGTTACTTTTTATTTTATTTAAGAGTTTTTCGCGTAATTAATGAACACGTCGTTAATTTTTGATTCTCGAAAAAAGCACTAATAATTTTTTAAATATTTACGTGCTCCTGTAACAAGTTATTTCAATGATAGATAATTTCAAGCATATTACAATTTTAATAGAAAAGTAAAAAGTAAAAAGTAAAAAAAGCAAAAGTATATATTGAAAGTAACTAACATTAAAGTAAAACAAATTTCATACTGAATGAAGAATAACTAACTGCTAGTGCATTGCATAGAATAAAAATTATGCATAATTTGATTTGAAAAGTGTGGACTAAAGTAAATGCGGGAGTTAGCACAAGAGTAGAGGGCTTTTTAGATTACTTAATTAAACTTTTCAAAATTGAATTTTTGCAAAATTAACCAAAAAGTTGAAAATTATTTGGCTAAACAAATTGCTTCGGTTGTCTGCCAACCTTTGCGATTCATTTTACTATTACACTTTTTTATGTCTTTCTATTATGCATACTTTTTAGGTATCTTTTTATTATTCCATTTTTTCATCAAATTATTTGCTGTGCATCTTAATCACAGCTCATCTATGATCTACCATCCAAAAATATAATATAGGTCATTTATGATCTACTATCCAAAAATATATACAATTCATCTATGAAAAAAACATACATAATTGTTGTAATTGGATTACTACTTGTAATCTATTACTACTTGAATAATAGTTAATTGGATCATATATGAATCTGTAATTATATCATTAATTTTTGACTAATTATTGATGAAGCTGACAGTACTATTTTTTCGCTTCCCTAACTGTATCTTTTCATTATTCAGTTCAGCCAGTATTTATAACATTTTTTAAATTATTAATATCATTAATGGACAGAAAAATGTCCTAGTAAATTCTTTTAATACAATGAGAACCATTTTTTTCATATGTTTTAGTATATCAAAATATCAAAGTATCCAAATTCATTTAAATATTTGATATAGGAATAGACGGATCTTCTGAAAAACTCGTTTGCGCGACGTTACAGTACAGTACATTTGTTAAACTGTGAAGTAGTGCAGAGAACTATTATCATTATATTAACAACCACATTCATAAGCGAAGGCAGTCTGCTCACTCTCATCACTAACGACATGGAAGTGTGAGTGGAACACGGAAACAGCACTTAACATTTAAAAGTGCTGCTTCATTCATAATGTGGTTTATGCGGAGGAAACTGAAAGAAATTCCTGTTAAGAATGCTAGTTCCACTCTTGCTAGACTATGACATTCCAGACGAAAACTAGTCAGTATTCTGAAAGTAATAGTTAAAGAATATGCTCTCTACGAAGATACTGGCTACATTTCGGAACGTGCATGGGTAGAAGGATTATGAGTAATTACTGAAAATCCTCTGCTGTTGATAACAAAGTTATTCAAAATGCACACCATATCAAGTAATTGATGTCAAAAATCTACTTGAAAAGTCGGATTGCCCTTATACATCTTTTCGTCTGCTGTACAGAAAGTGACCCACATAAATGTATGTGTCATACGATTTTCTAGTTTTTTAAATGACATTTGATTTATTCCATAAACATACTTTCGAATCAATATAAAATTATGAACAATGATATAACAAACGCATTAAAACAAACGTGACTATGTTTGGTTGGATTGTAAATTCTTCCGTAGTTATATATATCACCACGTACAGCTTCAAAATACGAGTAAAAAAGCACAAAGTTTATAAGTATAATGGTGCAATCTCAAATAGAAATAGTTTCCGAAGTTTAAAAAAGTATCAAAACATAAATAGCGGCGCCTATAAAGAGAAGGAGATATAACACAACAAGCACGCCATAACATACGGATCAATGGTCACTTCTATAAGTAAGACCTAAATTTATTGCGCGTAACCAGTCAATAAACAGCGTACTCTTTCACTGATACAACTCAATGAATCTGCTTTGCAAGTAGCAGCGCGAACAATGACTGCTTCAGCAAGATAAGCTGAAAAATAGAAATAGTATGGAATAATACACTCATACATATCATGAACAATGCAAAGTATAAGCTAGTTCAATCTGTACTCGACATAAAAAACCAATGCACTAAAACTATTTCTGAACATCTAAAATTGTAAAGATTCAAACAACCTTAATTTTAATAAGAAAATCGTGCGATGAGAAATATACTTATGTGGTAAGAGATTAAAACCAAAAGTTTTTTAAACATGATAATAACTGCTGACCTCAGTAAATTTCACAGGAAATTTGATATTAAAAAAACTCATAAACATTTACTTATTTAAGAGAAGAAAAATGAAAAAAAAGGTCGTTCACGAGGGTGTGAAAAGACCGAAATTAAAAAAACTGAAAAACCTTTGAAATTGACAATTTCCGGAGCAATGATATCCGGATGTTGAGCATATGTTAGTTTACAATACGGATCATTCTGCTCTAGTTCCAAAGAGCACAGCCCCTGCTCTTCCATATCATCTGTATTCAAAGGAGTTGGCCCACATCCCGAAGCTTCCACCAATCGCACCAGTGATTCTACCAGTACTCCATATTGTGGTCTAAAAATGGTAATTCACACAAGTTAAGAGTAATATAATTCCAATTTAGATCATTTAGCGATAATTTTTTTATAGATTTTTGCTTCACGACAAATTAGAAATAAAGTTGGTACAATGTAAAATAATCATTTCTCTGATGAGCATTTTGAAACTAAACGGAAGTAATCTACCCCAGTTTCTCTACAGTATCAGCTGTGAGATTTGCAAAACCAATACAACATAATCGTTTTTCATTATAGGTTGTAGTATTATGCATTTTGTCCAATTCCGCAATCAGAACTTTCTCGACTACCATCGCGAACATACCAGTTTGAATCGTTTCCAAAACCTAAAATAAGCAGCCGATAACCATTTGCAATTGTGGTTATTAAAATTAAGAAGATGTACCTGACAGAGCGATGCACCTCCTCGTACAACTGCAAATCGTGCGAGGAACAATACGAAACTTTTCATAAATCTGGTTGTTTTTGAAAATTGAATTCGCCGTAACATTGGGATCAAGATTGAAGATTCAGTCAATATATCTGTTTCCTAAAATTTAAAAAACCTCCTAAAAAGTAATTTTTGAGAAAATCTTGGCGCTTATAGTTGAATCAGAAAGAAAGAAAAACCTACATTCAAACATTGCAAAAATATATTAGCTAACTGGAAACCATGTTGGTCTAATGCTTTCGAAGAAATCAGTTTCTGGAAAACTGCTAGCAAATTTTTTGCGTGTTCATGCAGAATATGTTTGCTATGACTGTTCATAAAGGATTCAATCACCTGTAAACAAGGTCAATCACAACAAAAGCCTGAAGAAAGCAAAATTAAACTGAGGAAAAAAAATGACTAATAATGCCGCCGGGATATTTGCCGTTCGTTGCCAAAGTTCCCCTTTCATCAAATTAGAGAAAAATGGCAAATAACTGTCTACACATGAAATACCAGTTTTCCGTTTCTGTATTTCAGCTTGGTCCAGTAACAATGCTGCAATTAAAAATGAAGATTTAATGGTTAACTAAATCTTAATAGTTTTGAAAAAGGATACATCACTAAATTTATTTAAAATAACCTGTTATTTGTAAAGCATACGGTACAAAATCAACCAGGTCTGATGAAAAAATGTTTTCAATAAGAGGAACTACATATTTGTCTATACCACCTTCAACTACAGCATAAACCTGCAATTAAAAGTGTTGAAAAGACATACATAAACATGACCAGTAACCTAAATAGCAAAAATATTTCTTCTACACAATATCTTCATACAGTAGACAAAGAAACCTGACTACTCGAGACAAAATATCATAAAGTTACTAACCTGCCTGATCAGCACACAAAGTGATTCAAAGATGTAATGAAGATGCAAAGGATCGACAGGATTCTTTACAGCAACACCGATCATAGTTGCAAGCTTATCAACAATGTGAGCTGAACTTTTCGCTGTTTCTGTCTGTCATAAAATTTGAATGAAAAAACATTAATTAAAAGCAAAATCAGAATAAAGGTCACAAGAACCAAAATTAAGAGTTAGAACTAACTTATAGAGTCGCATCCAAATGCTACTAATCATCATCCTGATTTTACTTTGTAGTTAAATTAACACTAAAACAGAGGAGACAGATAAACTCACATCGATTATATTGAAACAACGCATTAAAGCCTTCGTGATATAATGTGAGTTCTGTGCTTTAGAACTGACATCAAAACAAGTGAATAAAGCAATAACCAACAGACCCACTGGCACATTTTCTGCTGTCAGTAAAGCCTTCAAAATTAATACAGGTGGTCATAGAATGACAAAAATATTTATGTTTGATTCGCGACCAAGATAAAACATTAAGTATCATTAAAAAATATTGCTAAATTTATTACAGGAAATGCACCTTTCCAGTTTCTTTGTTTTTGACGAGCAAAAGCCTTTCAAGAGCATATGCAATATACTGATGAAGAATTGCGTGGTGCGAGGTCAGCAATTTCAAAAGTGCGCTGACGACTTCTATCACTTGATTTGGAAGTAGGTGATTTCGAAATACTACTACGTATTTTAGAGCATCCATCTTGAGAATTGGCAAGGCATTAACGTCTTCTGAGAAGAGATCTTTGCGTACATGTGTTTGGTAAAAGTCGATCACATTGATCTAAAAAAAACTTTCTACATGCTCAAAAAATTTGAGTTCTTTAAAGTTCACTATAAAGACTTACAAGGTCGCTTGTAGCAGTTGCTCCATGTTTTGCAGTCTCCGCTTTCACTGCGACTGCTGTCGTTAAACAATAAACAACATCCTTCTTCAACCAATTAGTAGTAAGATCTACTGAACTTTCTTGCAAAAATGATTGCAGCACTTCAGACAGAATACTCAGAACTCGAGATTCTTCCGTACGACGACAAAGAGCCCTAAGAAAATCACTTGCTCCTCGGCGTCTAGTACCAATATCAGAACCTAAAAACGAATCAAATGCTTTAACATACTAACAGGTCATCTAATTATCCTTCAAGACTTTAAAATTAATTAAACTAAAAGACAAAAAACGTTGATCAACCCCGCAAAAAAAGTTCGAAAATATATTTCCTTTATTTCAATTTCTTGACCACTGCTTCTATTTAAAAAATTGACTAGAAGAAAATTTTTTTTCCGTTATAAAAAAATTCTTAGAAACAGAGCGAACCAGAAAGATTCAAGTGTCTCAAAGGCTACAAGAACAATAGCAAGTAAGTCGAAAATTTTTGACAGTTACCTTCAATATCTTTTCTCATATACTCAAAAGGATCGTCCTCAAAAAGTTCAAAGTCGCATTTCCGTAATGTTACGTTCTTAATGATAACATCCTCATACAGTGTTTTTAACAACTGCTCATGTTCGAAAATAGCTGAGTACTGAGAACGCTGACAAATAGAAGAAAGGAAGCCGAGAGATGCATTTACTAACGTATCATATCTAAAGTTGAAGAATTGTAAATTAATTTTCTTTGTTGAAATAATAGGTATAAATAATTATTAGAACAAACCTTGCTTTCTGATCAATCGAAACAAGCATTTGCCACACACACTCTATTAGCCAATTCTTTGATTCTCCTTCCTGTATCGGATTTTTTTCATTTGGCATCATAAACGGCATCAACTCCTCTTCATACCGCTAAAAAAGCTGGTATTAATGAAGATAGTTTAACTTCACGATTGTGATATAGAAATATGGAGTGAATGAGCCACATAACAGACTTACCTGTGAAAAAAGAGTAATAATATCACAAATGCAACATTTCAGTTTATCTAGAACATTTGCTTCAGTTTCAATACATTCGGCATCAAGCTGAGGAATTTCTAACTTTAATAACGCCATGAAGCCGTTCATCCAAACATTTAAATGATCCTGAAAGCATCATAACAAAAATTAGAAATAATACTGTGATAATGCCTTACTCTACAACTTAAAACTTTACTACATCGCAGGCAAAATTCTATGAAATTAATGTAGACAAGTACACTATCTCAAAATCACCTCGAAATATTCCGGTAGATCTTGCGAACAGAGAGAGTGAAAACACTTCGTGATTAGAGTGGTAACTTCAATCCAAGCTTGGCTCTCTGCTTTTGGCATTATGTCTTTGTTAGGGATACATTCCATCATTTTTGTAAATAAATTAGTCAATGGAGCCGCAACCTAAAAAAAAAATCATACATAGTGTGAATACGTAGTGTTTCATTTAAAAATGCAAACACAGAACTGACCGCCTGAAGCACAACGACCAGCTCCTTCCAAAGCTGATTCGATTTTACTTCATATCTGTATTTTTTACAAAGTTCATCCAACGTGCATAGTGTAGGCATAAGCCTATTTAAATCTGCTCCTTCAAGATTACTGGCCAAAACTAAAATCAAATCGGACCAATTCTCTGGAAAGTCGTACTTCCCCATAACGCATACTACTTGAGACAATTGCTTCTGAATGTTGCCTAAATAAGCGAAAAAACCATTTAAAACAGAAGATTACCGTTTACGGAATAAAAACCTTAAATTTGAGAGTGCACAATTTCGTATAGAAATAAATAGCTACCTGAAGTAGTGAACATACTTTCCAGTGCTTTTTCCCGCAACTGCATTCGTTCAGCAGCACTTATTTCCACCACACATTTTTCTTCATTCTTAAATAAAAACCAAATATAAGCATGGAAAAATGATAACTGAATTATGGAAACAAAATCTGAATTAATTGATTATTTCGATGATACTCAACTAATATCAATATGGTAGAAGACAAAAACATGTTTAAATTAATATAAATTAATAAAGCACTAAATGACAAAAGAGAGAAAGAAGTTAAGAAACAGTTATTTATTTACAGACACCACCTTCTTACACAAAAATGCAAAAAACAATATTCAAAACTGACCAAGTTATACTGCAACTTTAAAAGAATTTCAAAAAGTTATGCTTTAAAAGTTTTTTACATGACCAAAAATTATGGAAACTTTACAAACGAAATGGAAACATTGAGAATGCTAGGTACACACCCAATTCTCCTTAACAAAATTTTTGAATGCTACTGCTGATGCCAGTGATATTTCAGACGATATCTGCTGATCAAATATCAATTCATAGCAAACCAATCCATATCCTACAAACACACAGCATGAAGCAGAAACGATTTCCTTAAATTACTTGGCAGGACAATATCTTACTATGTCATACCTTTCCTATTATGTTGATTATAGGCAAAAAAGATTTTAATATAAGCATAAACATGCCTGGTAATTGCTCGATTTGCTTTAAATCGCTTTCAGCATTGCGTCGCACTTGTGCATCCGACTGTAATGTCCGTCGTAAGCATTCAGCTACTAATGATGCATTAGCCGTCTGCGCCATTCGAGCTGAAAATCAAGCTTTTCAAAATCTTAATAAATTCAAGTTATGCCACCATTACGCCAATCGAGACCCCAAATACAATTCCACAACTTCTTCCCACCAGTCTGCCTCATTGTTCGCACCGCCCTCATTTAAAATTGCCACACTTAAATGAAAACTTATATCTCAAACAATTCATTGCACACACCACTTACCACGTGCAAAACCTACTGTCCGAATCATTTGAAATGGATGGCTAAGTGAATAAGCACCTGTTTTCCTCATATTAATAACATTTCATTCCAAACAGTTCCATTTCTATGAATAATATTTGAAGCATGTCAACGAAAACTTTGTTACAGCACTTTGAGTGGAAACCGAAAGTTTTTTATTTCCACAACGATAATGAATGCGTTTTTAACTTTAGCATTATATTTTACTTGAAATTTATTACGCTAATCTAACAAAATATCGAAATAATTCAATATCTACATAATTAAAAATAGCATATGTAAAGCATTCCGATTAAGCAAAGAGCAACATATACAACGTTATCATCTACAATCAACACAGTGACTTCAACATTTTATTCCTCATTTATAATCAGATCACAAAAACTTCAATCCATCATGAAACTTTTAAAATACTTTGCTTCCCGATTCCATTTACTAATTACAATTTGCTACAAAAATAAAATAAAAATGAGTACACAAGCAACAAACTCCGTCGATGTTAGACATTTATGAACTATTATAATAATTGTTTTTCTTGAAGTAAAAACTACATCCGTTAATATTTCAATGGCTCTAATACAAGGGAAAAAAACATATAACCTGACTTATCTAAAATTTGTGTTTGGAATATTCTTACTAACAGCTTGTTCCCGCATATTTACTTCAACTTGCAGAGCTTCCACTTTTTGTAAAATTTTTTCATTGACAACAGCTTCTATATCCTAAAATGCAAATATACATTTTCGCATAGAGAGAAAACAACCAAAAAAGCTTTAATATATTTGTTTCAAAATCTGCTCAAAGCACTGGATCAACTTCAGTCTTTCACACTTCACATGAACTAGGTGCAGATGGAAATCTAAAATTAAAATTAGAGATCAAAAATGCCATATTACTAGAATTCTTAAAAAATATTGAAATATAAGCGCATAAATCTTGCAAGAATGAATAAGTTATGTTACTCAAATGCACAAATTTTTGTGGAAATAAAAAAAATTAGTGAAATAAGTAACCATATGGTCTTGTGCAACGATTGTTGGACAATAACGAAAATAATAATTCCTCCAGATTTTAATACACATCATACAAGTGTTCGGACGCAAAACATCGATGAATCGCGGATACTGATTATAAAACGGATTGAGAAAACGTCTTCTTTCATTTACAATATAAGACCATAGAGATACTGTATTTTCTTTAACACGCTGAAATACTTGTTAAACGCATAACAAAATGAACAGATGTCAGATTTTTCAGCACAGTGCTATGATCGAATTTTTTTATTATTTTAAAGAAAAATTGGAACTCACAAAAATCTTACTTGATCTCGATGACGCTGCTTTTCACTGTTATACAAAAATGTTCCAAATCGGCATGAGTACAGTTCATCCAATATTGTAATAAGTAATGTAGCATTAAACTCGAAAGCGTAAGGAAACTATAAAATCGTTTAAGAAAAAGGAATGCATGAATAATTTCAAAAATGTAAAATAAAAATGAGCTTTATTGATAAAAACAACATGAAAAAAAACATTTAACTTGAATAATGTTCTGAAAAAGCGACTGGAAAATAAATCAGCATTCTAATTCCCAAGCCAAACAAACAAATGGATACAAATATGAAAGCAAAAATGTACAATGAGATAACAAAGTAAAGAGTATTTTTACTGATAAACAGGGAATCATGCCAATGTATTAAGCTCGAAAAATATAAATTTAGCATTATTACTTGATTCATGATTTGCCACACACAATCGATAAACTGAAGAAATATAGGCGATCTTTCACTATCATTGTGCTTGTCTTCTCCGTGACCAACACGCTGCAATTAATTACTTTGTTGACTAGAAATATTGTACTGTATTTGTGTTAGTGAAATAGGTCAACATACATGAGCAAATTTATGACCAAAACTGCACCACTCCTTTTCTACCAAAACAGCAAATCCTTGGATAGTTCGATAATACGGATCCAGTTCCAACATCGCCAAGGATGTTAGCTGAAAACTTATTCCATCCAAATGATTTACTTGGTGCGTGGAATGTTCATTTTAGAAAAAAGTACTACCTGAGCAGTTCTATCCCAGCCATCACTACAGTGAACTAAAACTGAAGCTTTGTTATCTTCTACTTCGCGAGCGATTTGTGTTGCACCATCCAAAATTGTCTGTAAGTATATAAATCCAGAATGAGCGTAAAAACAATATGATAAAGGTAAACCTACTTTCCAGCTGACAGACACAATTCTCATGAATATTATTAATATGGTGGTTAATAGTGAACTATATGCATGGAACACGAAAAGACAGAAAATTATTTCTTAACAAATTCTTAGTTCATAAGAACTGAAAAATATATAAACCTGAATGTGGCTAAGCCACTTGGTATCGTCTAACATACGAAACCAATTTTTTTCATCAACACGAGGGAAAGACATATCTTTTAATTTACGCAACCTGAAATCACTCCTTTTTCTTTGAAAACAGTGCTATATCAGAACAAAGAAAAAAAAAAGAAAAAATTCAGAATGAGCGTAAAACCAGTACGGTGAGGGTAAACCTATTTTACAGCTGACAGACACATTTCTCATGAGTATTGCTAACACGGTCGTAATAGTGAATTATATGCATGGAACACGAAAAGGCAGAAAATTATTTTTTAACAAAATCTTAGTTCATAAGAACTGAGAAATATATACCTTTATATTACGAAGATGCAGAAAATACCAGTCAAGCAGATACATTTTATAAAACGCACACTTATTATCTTCAGTTTTGCTATTGAATAAGTGAATAAAATATCAAAAAAATTTAGCCCAAAAAAACTTCATGAATCCTAAACTAATAAAATCAATTCGAAGAAACTGGCCTTCGATCAGACAAAATTCTCTCACCATTTCAAAGGAATAACTCATAACTGCTTCTTGGCTCGTTTGAAATAATATCAATATAATGTGGGATAAAACTAATAAATTACAGAAATTTTGCAGCTTTTGTTTAGAAGCTGCTGACAAATATAAAATCTTTAAAACCCACATCAAAACTGGTAATTAGTTATATGATTTAGTAAGATGAATTTGAACCAAATTAAAGATAGAGTGAAGGTAATAGACATAAAAAGAAAACTTACGATTCCCGAACTACATGGATGTTTTGGATATCTAAGAATATAAGCCGGCAATTAGCATACGAATCCTCAAAACCACCACCTTTTGCCTACAAAATTAAACACTTCTTTTTCAAAAATATCTTCGTTTTCACTCAAACAAAATTATTTTCTTACAGAGGAGAAAAAAGTTTATCTACATTTCAAAAAACTAGCAATTTATCAATAGTAACCACAACTTTCACAAGAAAAATATGTGAAAACAACTTACCTTATTAACTTTTGCATTCACAACCGGACGAGCATCAAATATAAGCAACTGATGAGCATGAGCGTTTGCTTCCACTATCATTTGTAAGTAACTGACATCGATTTTTGTATAAATTTATATAAATGCGGTAGATTTTTAAAAAAAGCAAGAAAAATTCTTTGTTAAAACAATGTATATTTTTTGAGGTCTGTGAAATATGGCGAGTTACAGTAGCGCAAATATACAAAGTGTACTGTGTATATTCTCATTTAAAAATATAGATTCTCTCGAACCACTTTCGGTGACCGAAATTATTATAGACTAAAAAATCAAGATGCAAATATAACAGGAGTATTAAATACCGTTCATCTTCTGCAGACTTCCGAGATGTCACTCCAACCATTGGTTGAGATGATCGTGTAATAGATGCTTGAGTAGCAGGATGTAACCAAGATAAGACCTAGAAAAATCTAGCGATTGACAAACTTTAGAGCTATTTTTTTGTACTTATTTTTTTAAAATTTTCTACTGCCCAGGTTTGCCCAAACTGTTATTATAACTAAGTTAAAATAAATCTCCAAAATTTTCTACTCAACAATGATTTTCATATTAAATACTTGCCGGTATTCTTTGCTTGCTTCGGAATTCGCCAACTTTCTGCAAAAAATCTTCTCCCTCTGCTAAAGCTATTGCAGGCACAGCTAACTGCAAAAAAATTATTAATACTCAGAACTAGGGAATTATACTTGCTCATAACACAACTTGATAAGTACTGCATTCAGTAAATAACTATAAATTATGCTTCAGAAATTTACCAAAGCAGGATAAGAATCTGCAAATTCATAACGATCATTAATTCTTGTGACTCTCCATGTTTCATTGGGCACATTCTGTAATATCTTTGATTCCAAGCAAAGTCTACAAATTCATTTTGTTTTAGCAAAAGATCAAATCATACAATTCGAAGCTGAAAGTTTAGAAACACAGGACTTATGAAAAGCTTGCTACCATTCGATTCAGTTCTCGAACAGTATCATAAACGTTCCATCCATTGAAAGCCCAGTCTGGTTTGAACGAAGTTGCGAAAAATGGCTGAAATCAAAAATTAATTTTTAAATGAATGAAAAAATCATTCTTGTACTAGCCAGGAAGTTGAAAAAATAAATCACTATAGATAACATATTTATAAGAATCTTTTGTAATAAAAAATCTAATTAGAACTTACTGCTTTATTTGTGACTGGAAAAGCAAAACGCTGTAAACTTTCATAAAGTGGTCGCCTACTGTGATTTGTCTGCTGATGAGTGAACCGAATATTTCGCATATCCTGAAATAATTATTTATATGACCAAAACAATATATCACTCGTAAGTGTAGAGAATAAGTGGAAAATTAGTGACCTTGCAAGTGATCTCCAATCCATAAGAATCCTCGCCACGACTTACAGTTGAATAGCCAACCTTTTCAACTCGAGAGATACAACCCAAAGGTATATCGAATTGACAGCACTAAAATTCGACACCAATTCTGATTCTTCATTTTTTTAAACAGTTTTTTAAATGACAGAAGGACATTTTCTATTCAAAACCTTGCTATGACGATTATCAGACGAAGGTTTCGCTTCAAATCGTAATCGATAATTAGTAACAAGTACCCTACCGTTTACTTTGCCAATGGGCGACATATATCCTACATTCGCTTCTACAATAATGGTAAAAAATGAATGCTAAAAATAATTTGTTGCAGCAAGTAATATCACTAAGAAGTGCGTAAATTAAAGTCAGCAATTATGTATAAAAATTTTTGAAACAAAGTACAATACTATCAGAGCAATTTTGGTTGTGAAATACGATTAATGGTTATGTGATCAATTCAATTCAATGAAGCATAAAATCTTTCTATACAAGGTTAAGTAGTTTAGATATAGTCACATATGAAGCAAATCTGACAAGATACACAGACATACCTTCAATTTGTATTTTTTCACCTGGAAGTACCCAAAACCTGTCAGCTTGCCTTATTTTATTCTGGAACAGGCTCAGTGAAGAGCTGCCACCAGGTGTCATACCAACAGCCTACAAATATTCCCATTTCAAATATTTGTAAATGTTTGCTATGCAACATTCACATTCCTTTAACACACAAGAGCTTCTTCAACTGAAAACAAAACTTACTGATAATACGTCGGAACGAAAGTCACCATCTTGAGAAGAGTCATCACCCGAATCCATCGTCATTTACTAATTCATAGACCAAGAGAATTTTTAAAAAAATCCTGTAAGAAACAAGAAAAAACATATGATTCCAAAAATACATCTCATTTAACTCTAGATTACAGAACATCACAACTACGGCCCTTCAATAATACTGTAGTCAATGTCGCATATCACATCACATCCCTCAGTAAACTATTCTCCTATATTAGTGATGTTATAAATAACTGCAACCAATCACATCATTTACGTCCTTGATCAGTCTCAACTTACAGTCAAGAACAGTGTCGGAAAATGTCACTATGTAGTACTTTTTTTCCCTCTTGGAAAGACCAAAACTGCCGAAAGGAAAGAACAGGTTTGACACAATCGAATATCTAAGGAAAGTATCCAGATCTCGAATTTAGGAACAAAAATACAATTAAAATACGTTGTGTGCCATCCTATAGAATTCAACTCCAATTTTTCTTTCGCCATTAACTTATTAATTTGATAGACACTGAAAGATAGGAAACGGATGCTGAAAGATAGTTTCACTGAACCTTTTTATTTTGGTATGATACAAAAACAAGTAAAAAACAGCGCTATATAACTATATTTATTCAAACAGTACTCGAAATTTGATGAATACAAAAGAACAAAATACAGCGGAGGATAGAAATCAAGTAAAAATTTCATTCAAACCAAATCTTCTTCAATCGTCTCGTTTACGAGCTTCCTTCTTCTGAAATCAACAACAAGTCAATATTATAACCCAATTCTATAATCACCAAAAGTTAATTATATGGAATCAAATATAAGCACTCAATATATTCAAAACACACTACATGACACAAAAATACAATAAAATGTTAATTGGCCGTCGATGAATGTTTTCAACTTTGAGAGTTCTACATCGAAAATGCTAAAATACCAAACATGTATTAAAATTCCCAAAATCCAACTTTTTTATCATTGATGAGAACCAGTATATAGTTAAACAGGTTCACGAAGTCAATAAAGAGTTCCACTGTATGCCACACATAATCTGTATCACCACGGCGACGCTTCTCACAAATCAGTTGCGTATCATAGAGTACCAGAGCGCAATTGATTACAAATGCTAACCAGAAACAAGCCGTATTCATAAACGCGGAACGAGAGAAGAAAGCAGTAATCACGACAAATAGCAATCCGGAACTGATGAGTCCTAGAATGAAATGTAATAAAGATGGAAGCTATATTATCCGTAAATTCTGTTGTTACCATAAACTTATTAAGAAGTTGATAAAGTCATGCTATAATTTTATTTTCCATTTTTCTGAGTAAACCTCCAAGATGCAGGAACTTTGTAGATGGTGCATGAAGTGCTGCTAAGGTAAAACAGCCGAATATTACTGCAGTAGCAAGAAAAGCAGTAAAAATAGTAGACGGATCTACTATTAAAGCTTTTTCGATGAGTGGCCCAGAACTAATACCTGGAATAATTGAACTGCGATAGCATGATAATTTTCATACGCAAAATAAAATAGATTAATTTTAACCTTATAAATATCACATTTTAGTTCACTGTTCTCAAATTTACTTAAATATGAATGTATGGTATTCAGTAAGACGTACCGGATAGAGCACAAAAACCGAAGAAATAACCAAGTCGTTTACGTTCATTTTCAGCAGTGTGTGGAGTTTTCAAGAGCATTAACATTAGCAAAATCGATCCGAAAGAAATGTAGAAATTTGTCCGAAGAAAATCAGTAAATAAGTGCAACCAAGCTCCAATAGTCGCAGCGATTAAGCCGAGTGCTAGTGTTCCATAAACACATCGCAAATGCTCTTGAACGTCTTTTTCTCTAAAAAATATGTAAAAACTATTTATACAACATTACTAAACCAACAAATTACATCTAATATTCAAGCAAAAATTTTCACTGATTGAAAACTTGATTAAATTTATATCATTGAAAACAATGGTGAAAAAATTAATCTGAAAGATTTATGCTAACGTGAAAAATAAATCTTTGATCATTTGTAAAACATTACATATACGTGCTATAAAACTTGACTTGCTATGAAAATAAGATTGTTATAATGCGCAAGAATTACATAATACTGAAAAGTTTTTTGCACCAATATAGAAAATAAGTTATTAGCATAACAAAAACAACTAATTCTAATTTTTAAGAAGCAGAAGTACTATTCAAATGACAATTAGAACTAACAGTTTGTCATTGAGAGATGTGAAAGCGACACGTATATTGCGAAGAACACTGTTCTCACCATATGAATTGCCTTCTCTATGAGCCATAGTTTTGTGCAACTAAAAATAATTTAAGTTTGGATAGTCGTTACGAGAATACACTCCAACGAGAATAGTTCACTACTTTACGCAAACAAAACTAATAAAACCTAACGACACGTCATCTTTATGCTAATCCACTAGTAAAACTATTGCCCCCATCACATGTTCGCAGTGTCACTATGAAAACTTGCATTTCAATTTTATTTTGAGATTATGATTGCAGTCTAAAATTTACTATTATTTGAGTGAAACATTTGAACTATGAAATTAGCTCAATTTAAGTTTGAGTACTTTGAGAAGAATTCACTTGCTTTATAAAATATACTAGGCATACATGATTTAACATGCAAGTTGCACATTGTATTCGCTACAGTTTTTTAGTTTTTAATTATTGAATTATATCATCAAGCAATATTTTATTATGAAGTGTAAGCATATTTCAGATTACGTAAAAAGTAATGAAGTAAAAGTAATGATGATGATAATAGTGATAACAATAACGATTATGATGACAAATAAAAAATATGGGATGCGGACAAATAAATAATGAGGAAGAAGTGAAAGTTGGTGATAACAGTACATCATTACTGTTTCAGCCAGTGATTACTTTGTCATCAAGAAGTATCTTTTGTAATGACATCTTCTGTAATGATTGGGTGACATTTAAAGGATCCGTAAGTGTTTTCACAGAAACTTTCTTTTCTGCAAATATATCCACGGAATTCCGTACATTCGTTGATGTCTTCACAACGTTTTGTCTGAATAATAATTTTTAGATGCTACTTTTAATAAATTTTAGTATTATATGTTTATGGTTTATTGCTTACATGAAAGCAAATAGCAAAACGTGTTGATTAGTATATTTTCTTATATTAGTTTAGTACTAAATTGTTACGGTTGCATGTATTCAACGAAAACGTAAAACATTAAAAAAATAATTTGTTTGCAAAATATTCTTTGTTTGTAAACTGAATAATTTTATAATTAAAAAAGGCATAATTATAAACAAACAGTGGTATTGAAGTCGAAACCAGCTGAGCAAATACACTTATAGCTTCCAGGCAAGTTGATACAAGGCCTTCTACCACACAAATGTGAGCCATTCTTGCATTCGTCGATGTCTGAATCGGTGCAATCAGAAGCAATTACAATTATTTGTGTATTCATTTTTAAAAATATAATCTCATTAAGCATCTCATAATTTGTTCAATATATTTTTGAAAGCATTTACTATTTTAGATGCTAAAAATTCAAGTAGAAGAAACCTCGACACTTGCCATTGCTAGGGATATAACCAAGAGGACAGAACTGCTTTGTACATTCACCAGTGCGAGGATTCCTAATTTCTCGTTCTTCGCATTGCTTCATTTCACATTTATAACTTCCAATAGTATTACGACACATATACTGGGCACTGCAGAAATGTGTACCTATTTTGCATTCATCGATATCTGAAGCAAACATATCTTGAAAATTTCTGATTATAATGAAAATTCTTTTTTCCACATTTCACGTATTTTGTTAGCTTTCAAATTAAATTTGTCCATTTAATTGAGAAAAACCTGCGCATTGTCCAGTTTCGCTGTTAAGCACGTAACCCGTACCACAAGGCAGTGTTCGCACGCATCGGTATGATCCAGGTGTGTTCACGCAACGTTGATTTACCAAGCAGTCATCCAGAAGTAGCAGACATTCATTAATATCTTCAAATTCATCTTACTAGTAAATTAACGATTTGTTCGATTAAGATTTGAAAATGAATAAGTAATCGTTAATGAATGTGTCATTCAATGAAGTAGAATCCTTTTTTACTCTCAACAGTACTCGGAAAGAAATACTTTTAGTTTAAAGATTGCAATAGAGATTCCTTATGTCAATTAGTACCTGCACAAGAATAACCATCAGACTGTAAAGTGTAGCCATTTCTGCAACTACACTGCACAGATCCATTATTATGTTGTTTGCAGTAATGCTCGCAATTTGAGGATGCGCAACTATTACGTAACGTTAAGAATCGTATGCTTCGCAACATATGATCTTAATCACTTGTTGATAACACATGTTCATTTTGATTAATTAAACTGATAAATTAACTAAATTAACATGTGATATACAAATTATGAATCAACTCTAACTGTGAGATTTCATTTTTTGCTTTGTATATGCTTTATTTCTTCTGCAGCATTTGAAAATTGACCTTCGACATGCATCGCTAAAATATTTTTCGGCAAAGCATGCATTCTTTTCACGGGTCAAATTTTTGCCAAGTAGACAACATTCGCAGCATTCCTAAATTGCAATATTTTGAATAACTTTTTGATGCACAAAAACTTCAAATTTTTCAAAAATAATCTTTTTTTTTCCTTGTAAATAAAAATTCAACATTTCTTTACATGATTTGCGTTCATTTTATTCAGTTTTCATATGATTTTTAGTGCATTACTGTGATTTTGTATTTTTGGTTAGTACACAATTGATAAATTCTATATAAGTTAATTTAATTCTATTTCAGTGCTTTTTTTCTTTTTCAATTTTTCGTCCATGCATTGGAGTACTGTATTATTATTGTAAATTTTAAAAATTCAAGTACTGTATTATTATTAAATAATAGATGTAAATTTTTTAAAATTCTTTCAGAAAATAATTTCTAATAAAAATTAGCCATATTTATCTCTTGTCAGTACTTAAGAAATCAACTTTTTCCCTTCACTCACAGTCATTCATTAATACTTAAGCAAGAACTAATTTGACCGATAAATATTTAGTACGCGATCATATTAGTTTTTTTAAGTAAATTTATTCATGATAATTATGAGTTCAAAGTTCATAACATGTTTTTGCTCACTTTTTCGATATTTGATCCATTCTTGATGACACTGAGCGCACAGTGATCATTACGGAACCCTAAATTTGCAGCGTAATCACATGTTTGTTCTGAAAGAGTCCTTAAGCAGCAAATTGCAGCTGTACGAGCACATGTTACGTCAGATCTAAAAAATTTCTGTCACCATAAATAATTATTACTCTTGATAAGCTTGTTTTCAACTCACTCCTATCAGCATTATATTAAATTTGTTATCCAGAAATTTAGCCATTATCGATTCAAGTAAGCCAGATTGAATAAGTGAGACGTACGTCTGAAAAAAATTTCACGTGTTTCTTTATCTTTTGGTTTTAAGTTCTTCGTAATCAAACACTTTTTTTTATGATTATGAAGAAAGCGTAGTTTGTATGAATTTATCTATGGCATAATATATGTGGTGCAACAATTTAACAATCTTCATTACAATAAGTAATTAATTTGAGGTAATTACGCCACAGTATAGCAATAAATATTCAAATTAATTTTTTAATTAGATTAGTAATATGCAGAAATTATTACTCAACTTATGTGATAAAATATATTACAATTGAAGTTTTGGAGGAAATGTTTTTGCCCAAAGCTGCAGCATTTAAGTGATTCACGTGAACTTCTTGAAAGAGCTAAACAATGATAAGTTATTAGAAACAATTGTAAATTGGGAACAGACTTGAATAAATGTATTAAATTATAAAAAAGGAAAAGAAGGTTAAAAAAAATAGTAATTAAGTGCACTACCTGCAGTACATTCGAAGAACAGAAGCAATATGGGCAGAAGTAAATTGCAGTAACAATTCATACGTGAAGGAATACAATTACGTGAATTTATATAATAGCAAATGATATTGAAATGTAATAAATAGATTACAACAAGGAAGAGCAGAAATGTTTGAAATGTTAATGCGTGTTGAGCGCTCATAAAAAAATGATAGAACGATTCCCGACATTTTTTACTTACATTAATCACTTACTTACGCCACAATAAATGCTAAGGATGTAAAGAAACTTACAATAATACTTTAAATTGGTTGAAAATGTATGCTTTACTTGTGTGAGCAATAAATAATAAGTGTAATTGAGAAATGACATTAACGTGAAAGATATAATTTGGCGTAATACTTCTCTAGAAAGTGTAGCAAGCATTCTGACAATTTTTTTACTTCCACAGAATATTTCTCAAAACTATGTAATACTGTTATGCTTGTGTATTTTTTTTTTACTCATTACATTACTTTCTGAGAGTATTTACGTGAAAATAAAGCATTTCTAATAAACCATCTTTTATACCGTATCTATTTGCGCTGAATAAAGCTAAACAAAGATTTACGTTAGCTTTAAAATGTATAATTACAACTACATTGTACATTTGCTTTAGTCAGCAGTAGAAAGTAATTAACTTTTGAATGTTACGTAGAATTGTAAGTATGAACTTTTGATGTAGTTAAGTGGATTGATGAAGATATGCAGTATATAAGATCATTACTAAGTTCAGTGCTTTATTTCGCATAAAATAAGATTGGTTGAAGTCAAAAACGAGTCAGATGAATTACTTGAAAAGTATAATTCAAACAAATTACTTGTAAATCCAATAGTATTGATTAAATTGAATAATATATACTCAGTTAAATCAAGTAATACTTATTTAGTGATCAACTGTATTCTTGAGTTTGTGATATATTCATCCAAATCTACTACTATTATAAACTGTTCTAATATATAAAATGCATTGCATACAAATTTTGCCCTCTACTGCTTGTTATTACTGTGCAGAATTTTTTCTTCTTCTTCCTTGAGTCTGACTGAGTCAGAATTTCAATCATTTAAATGCATAGTAACATTTTGTTGCATAAATTAATCTTAAAAATCTTATCACACTTACAGTTAACTTTGTTTGAATTAACTATTTGATAGAAACTAATGCATAAATAATTTTGAAAAAATTGAAGACATGTACTGAATGCACAGCTGGTTGAATAATCTGAATTGTAATTAACATTTGTATATGGTAAAATACTGAAAGAAATAACTCATCTAAATAATAATATATTACAAAATAATAGGAAGAATTATTAACTACACGAAAGCTATCTTGAAATTACGATTGTTTAGACTACATTTACTAGAAAGTAAATATTATTAGATTAATAAACAAATAATACTAACTCTACAAAACATCCCCAAAATTCAGCTATTTATAAAATAAATATGACTCAAATACCTGATAAATACAAGCATTACTCTTATGAATGTGTGAATTCACAACAATTTAAAATTGTTATTGTTATATATTGTGCTTTTTATGCTTTTCCTCTCGATCTCTTATCTACTTCATGCAACTTTTGTTGGCAAAAAGTGAGAAAACTGTACACACACATAGAAAGAATGATCAACTGCAGCCTTTTTGTACTCTTTATACACGCAAAAATTAAAACATTCACGATAACAATAACTGGCAGAAAACATTAGACAGAGGTGACAAAGAAGCGTATTTAACTTCCGAACATGTTCAATAAAATAAATCTCGTTGATCACAATATAGCAAAAAATGATTGATGACACTGGTAAGATTTGTTTGGTAAATGTTCATTGTTTATTTTGAAAAAAAACAACACAATTATCCTTTATTATGTCAGTGGAAACGCTTTTTCGCACGCAATGCAAGGAAAGAGCTATTTAGAGAATATGTGAGTCTAGTTTAAATTTGTTGCGCAACATTTAAAAAATATTAAAACAAGATAAGAAAATTATCCTCCAAATAACATCTCAGTTTCAGATTACATTATTATTGTTGTTCTTTTTTTTTCTTCTTAGATACACTACAATCCTTACGTCTGTAATTTCAGTACATAGATAAACACAAAAACCTTTCTTAAGAATTCTACATTAATTACTACAATTTCTGGGGAAGATATGCTTTCTGAATCATTTTCTAACAGATAATCCGAAAAAGAAGTGAAATCAACATTATTATAATGTGACCAAAGTGATATAAACGAAAAAAATAAAAAAATATATGAATAAATACTTATATAAATAAATAGATAACTGATTACCTATAAATAAATAAATATGCAAATAAATAAATATATAAAACATATATATAATAAATATATATATTCATACTGCTGGCCAATACAAAATACTTTTAACTTCATCTAACTTTTCCACTTGCATATTTCTTAGCAGCAAGCAAAGAATTGCGGATCACTTTAGCCACATTGAAATAATGATCGAAATGTATAAAACGTATAAATTTGCCTACTACACGATACGTATCATACTCATCAGGATTTTCAGGATCTGTAGAATAGACGATAACATCCTTCATTTCCAAATTCATCTCATCATCACATTCCATCATTTTACCTAAATGACACCACTTATAATTTTAGGATACTATTATTAAAATGAATTAGGATACTATTATTAAAATGTTGTTTTTACAAACAAGAATTATGCAACTAAAGAAACAAATTGAACATTGGCTCAAAATGTAGTAGACATGAGCATGAGAAACCAAGCTTCAACTAACCTTTTATGGAGAAATAATTTTTCAATTCAACAACAACTGAAATATCCCGAACAGATTGTAAAACAATAATTGCTTGCATCTTTTTTCTCTGCCTTGCGGACCGCTTATAATACATAGTCCTGTTCATCTGTACTTTACTTGAAAAACTATTATGGATACACAAAAGACGAAAACAAATGCGGCCAACTTCTAGAAATAAAATGTAACTTGGTAAAACATTTATTGCATATTTTTGCAATAATCTTAGTGCTGTGAAGGAAAAAATATTTTAAATGCTTATGAATTGTATATTAGCAAAGAGAATAAAATTTCACTTTTTACTGACAGTAATTTACAAAAATGACACACTCTTAGCGAAGCATTGCAGTAATGACAAAGAAAAAAATGTGAACAGTAGTAATACGACACAAGATCAAATTCACCGCGTGCACAACCTGGTTAAACAGTGACTGATGGGAGATTTCACAAAAGTAAAGTAAGTTATTAAGACTATGAAGTATAATTTTTACAACATAAAAAGTAGTAATAAATATATCAAACCCTAAAGCTGCTTACATTTACAACATGCAAAAAAGAATTTGAAAGAGTCTGAAAAAAGCAAAGATCTTGATTCATATAACAATAAATTACTACAGTTCATTAAAAATATGACTGTTCGAGGACAAGGCAAGAAAAAATAAATTAGAACAAGAATGAAATTTTTCGCAACAGAAAAGAGAAAACTGATTACAAGCAATGAAATGACAACTTTAAAAAGGAAGGGGAAACAACATATAAACAATTATATTTATATTAACAAAAAATGATCAGTAATTTAAAATTTGTGAGAACACCAACACCAATCAAGAAACCCATTCATCCGTACGCCATATGATAGCACAATGCGATTCTCGACGGCGAGTAGCCGATCCTTGATGCTTTCTATCGGTGAATCGATCTATCAAGCACCTAAAAATTTTCATATTCACATTTGTCTGTTTATCAAATTACACAAATGAAGACATACACAAATGAACGTACACACAAATGAAAGAGACCTTTTGTAATCTGTAACAATGCCTAAACATCAAATTAGCGTTGCTAAAACAAAGAAATATAACTAAAAGCACTTTAAACAAATAAGGACCAATCGAAAGAGACAAACCTGTATCCGTTCCCAACTGTTACTACAAAATTGTTCACAGATGATACAGTTTCAGTGGTACCCTGTCTGAAACGGTTGACAGTTTCTGATACTCGATCTTTTACCCAACTTACAGTCTCCAGCAAATCACTGCTGCTATTTCCACTAGCGGCACCAAAACTTCGCCCTCCTATACTTGAAATACTAAAACCATCACGACGAGTTCGAATGAATTCATTCAAGGCTGAAACCATATCCAGTACAATAATTGTATGTACGTCCTCCATATATGGTCGAAATGCAGCAAGTGGCCTCATCTACAACACATTAATTATTGTTAGTTTTGGATTAACTGAAGAAATTTCTCCAGAGAAACTAAATCATGGAATAACTGAAGAAAAGTCGCTAATTCTCATTCCAGAATACAGAACAATAAACATGGTTTGTCCTTTTGATTTTGAATTTTACCTTACAAAAAAGAAAAGAGTAAAAAATTATTAATAAAGCAGGAGTTAAAATAAGAAATAAAACAATTAATTTTGTAAAAGATCAGAAAAGGGATGTGATTGGATTGACTTTCGAACGGGATCAATTCAACTGATCGCTTATCGTTTATAACTGCACTCTTGGCAAGGACTTTGTATTTAAAAGCTGATTTAGCAAACCCAAACAACATCCTTACTTCAACAGCCTGAGCTACAATTATTGCTCCTCGGCTCGTACCAATGTAAAGCTGAGCCCCATCCGTTCTATCAAGCAAAGCAAGTGCAGAAACATAGCCATCTCTAGAAGCTTCAATGTCCAAAGTTGAAATTGACTCAGAAGAAGGTAAAATTTTGCGAACGTCAAGGCGGTTTTGAACTGTTCGTGAAGTAGTTGACCACTGGTATACCTCCAAATATAATTATTTGTTATTTTTCCGAAATTTTCTAGCACTTCGATAATTCAAATTAAATGAAGTGGCGAAACACAATGTTGCTAATTATAAATTAGTGCAAGCCTTCTCATAATAACTTTTGTTTCTTACCCATAATCGAACCAATAAATAAGAACAAGCACTAGTACACACACTAAAAGTAAACTCAATATTTCTGAAAACGATGCATACTATTTCTCACAATTTCACTGTTGAATACGAACAAAAAATTCAGAATCACTTATTGTTAACTGCAACTGCGAAAACCAGAATATCTGAGAGCGACGAGATCAGTCTTATACAACCAGTAATAAACATCTGCAGAAACAGAGCAATAAAAAAAAATCACCTTGCTGCCATGTGATAGAACAGACCATAAAAGCCTTGAGTCTGTAGTACAAGTTATTAAATGCGTGACAGCACTGTTACTCGTACTATGATTTTCATCATGAAACATGTCTGTAGCAATCATGAACCCATTATCAACTGTTATATTATAAACAGATATGGAAGAACCCTCATGACCTACCCATATTTGCCTAAAAAACAAATAAAGCAATAAATTACATAAAAGCTGTTATTTCTATTCCTAGCTTCTTTTTTTACTTCAGTCATATTGTGTAGCTTTTTTTTGAAATAATGTGAAAGTTATGCTAACAATTAATTAAATAGCAATACATTGTTATATCTTCAAAATAAAAGCTCGTAATCAAAATGAAAGATTTAGTATGAAACACAAAGCAAAGAATTTAAATAATCTGCAATGACGTAAACACAGAGACTTTGAAATATGTGAGGGAAATATAGAAGGAAGTAATACATTTAAAAAAATTATTACCTAGCATTTGTACCAAAATCAATTACAGCAGATGAATATATAGTATGAAGGGCTACAGACGAAACAAAAGGATTGTTCGTTGTCCGATCTCCTTTAACAAGCAACAAAGCAGAAGGAAGAGTAATAAGTACTAAAAGCGGAGTTGTACTGAAAACCGATAGTGAGATAACGCTGATTGATAAGTGTGCTGTGGGAAGAAAACGTGATATTGAAAACGACCAAAGCTCAGAGTACGAAGAGCGACTAAAAATTGAAATATTAGTTGAAATTAAAATATTAGTTTGTAAGTTAAGAAATGAGTCAGAATGCTCTTTTCTCCTCCCATGCTTCTTGAATAGTTAATACCATAAAACTTTAATAATGCATATACAGACCAGTAAATGCGCACCATTCCCGTTGATTCTGCAAGCCAGACATTATCATTAACCAAGCACATAGCTAACACAACTGTTTTGTCCATCCCTAATACGATACTCTATAACTATACTTGAAATTATACAATTAAGTTTCAAGTAATTATAATTTCTTGATTTAAGAAAAGAATCTAAAAAATTTTTAAACAGTAATAAGCAAAATAACCTTGGAATCTAACCATCCATACTGATTGCAGCTAACAACAGTAATAGATCCATCAGATCTACTCATCCACACTTCTCCTTCAATGCTATCTTCAACTGCGAAACCCAACTCAACATCGTCAAAAGCTGATGAAACAGAAAGTTGAAAACATCCTGTTAAATAATGCAGGAGCACCGAGTGAAAAAATAATATGAAATTAGACTAAACACAAAAAGTCAATATTAAGAAAGACTTACTGGGAAAAGATAAACCGGCATTAACAGATGAATCTGGATCATTTAACGAAATAACATCCAAAAGATGAGTGAATTCAGGAGCAGTAGTCATGGACACAATCTGAGACGCTGAAGGACGATCAAAAGGTTGCGCTGCCCAGCATACAACCATTACATCAAGCACATTACAAGGGTATAATAATTCCTGTAATGTAACAAAAAAAACTAACAACGATTACTCCAAAGCATATCAAGTGATAATCTTGAGCAAATATTATAATTTGAGATAATGAGATTGCTTTACTTCTACGACTGATAATCTGTGACAAAAAGGTGGCAAAAATCTATATTCTGATATTAAACAAAGAATGAATGTGAAGAAATTTGAAAATACATCCTGAACATTATTATATACTGAATGTTGCTATTTAATAGTTTTCAAAATAATTTAGATGCGAAAAGTATAAAAAGCATATTCACAGAAGGAGTGAGTTGTGGCCGTCCCCCATCTAGAATGTACTCCTTCAGCTGTTCATGACCATCAAAAGGAAGCTTCAAACTGATTAATTCGTACAAGAACATTGAAAATGAGAAACAATCAACCTGCAGTACGATAACGTCTAGATTGTTGAATAGCAAAAAATAATAATAAAGTAAGTTAATTTACAACAGAAATTGTACTTTTTCCGTATATTCTTGTTCTCCATTATATCGCATTATCTCAGGAGCCATAAAACCTTCAGTACCACCCAATCCTTTTGCACCTCCCGAAGGAAACGAGCTTCGTGATATGCCATAATCTCCCAATTTAACATGGACATCTGTTATAATACTAAATGGAGGAGGAAATCGCCAAGTGAGCACATTTTCACATTTCAAGTCACGATAAATTATGCGGTGTTCATGGAGATATTCAAGCGCTTTAGCTACCTGAAACCTATGAAATACGTTTGGAAATATAATGACTGATACAATAATGTCATGAATATGAGACAGTGACTGCACTTCTTTCTGAATTCATAAAGTTAATCATTCTGTACCATTCAAAGCAAAAATTAATAAATACTAAAATGAAGAACTTAATTGAGTCATTTATACTTGAAATGGCATTTTCCGATAAAAAATGAATTCAGTGGGTGAAAATTTAAGAATACCTGACTAGCAGTATCCTGGATGACACTGAGATGTAATCGAGCTCCACTTCTTCGATAATTGCTGAGCAAGTGATTCAGAGCACCAAGTGGGGCTAATTCTACCAAAAGAGCTAAAGGTCGAGGACAAACTCCAAGCAGTGAAGTGATATGAGAATGCTGCAAAGACGCTAACACATTGAGTTCTTGTCGACAGTTGCAGTAAGCACGGCAAGCATTCTGTAGTGGATCTCGTTGCCACTTTGTACAGGCTGCCTACAAATTCATAAATTATGTAGAACAAGAAGTAATACACGTCTTTAGAAGTAATATAACAAGGAACGGAAATATTTCTAATTTAATTTAATGCCCTAATTATTAAACTGAAGATCTTAATTAATCTATTCTTTGCTTTTTTGAAGTAAATCAGCCAACAACACGGAATTTTCGTCATTTACTAAAATACTACTTTTATATGAGATTAAAATTCAAACTTCTGAGTCTAGAAAGCATAATCAAATAAAGCGCAAACATCATAAACTTTATTCTAACATAATTAACATAACTGAATGTAGAATTCACTTTATATGCTGAAATAGATGTTGCACGTGCTCCCAAGCCTGGTTCTACTGGCTCCAACATTTTCAATGCAGCATCCTGTACGTTCGTATCCTGGAAAAAAAATGTCATAAAATTTTTTATTACTATTTTACCTTTCACAAACAGCAACAAAATTTGAAATAAATTCGAAACATACGGTATTTTTATTGATGCTTCAAAAATGAACTGGACTATTTTAAAACATCTTACTGAAAATTTCAAAGCAGCTTTGAATACAAATCCAAATGCACCACGTCCGATTAATTTACCACGTTTAACAAAAGAGGGCTGAATAAGGTAATCGTCACTGATATCCAAGAAGACAGTGTCAGGAGCAATATTCATTACAGGTATGTCCAAGTGTAAGGGACATTTTAGATCCAAACCATCGTGAGCGGAAAGGATACACTCTTCAATAGTAAAAGTATGCAATATATGCTTCGGAAAAGAATTTGTTTCATTTAACTCCTTTAAAGATTGTGTGGAAACCCTGAAAGCAACAACAGTTATTGACAATTATGTAACAGAACGATATTACATCCACTCATAAAATTTCACAACTTTCAACTTTTACATAATTTAAATTTCTACTGAAAATTATTTTCAATGTTTTTACAAAAACATTTTACCTTGCTTTCGCATTTTTTTCACATGAATGATCACTACTTCGAGCATTAGCCGCACATGAGATGCACGGAATGAGCCGATTTACAAGAAACCGACCTTCAGAAGTATGAACAAAACGTGTCCCTAATAAAGGATACCTGAAATTGTATCAAGCAAATCAAAAAACAAATCACCTTCTAAATGTAGTTTTTTGTGTATTTAATGAAGTATTTTCAGGGAGAGAGAAGCGCATGATGCATTTATAAATACATACCAGTCTTCCAAAAGAGTATCCATAATATCCACAATGAGAGCAAGAAGTCGTGTCATTGCAACACGGTTGCTACGAAGAACATATTCAGTATCAAAATTCACCAAATTGATCCTAAAACATTGAACTCTTGGATTAATCGTTATTAAAATCTTTAGATAGAAAAGTCGAAAACAAATAAAACCACAACCTGACTGCTGGAATAATGATTTCAAGTAGAGAGGAACCATTTGTATCCAAAACATGCCAATTACTATCGTCCCCACAACAGCGCCATTCAACTAACTCGTAGTGAACATCTTTTACTTCTGCAAGCGGCAAAAACTGGCGCATTGTAAACAAAGTTTCTCCAAATGCCAGAATCTAAATATGAAAAACAACGGTACTGAAATGAAAAGCAGTTATAAAAAAGTAGTCTACCATGGTCTAGTATAAACTTTTAATTTTTTTTTCTTCTCTCGACTATGAACTTTAAGCCGTAATCAGAAACGTTTAAAGCCAAAATGATATGAATCATATCTCGTCTCTTTCTTACATACGCTCTACTTTTGTGAAATTTATTTCAACAAAATATACAACCAATCACAGAAATTAATCCATGCGCAAAACAAATTGATCTATATATTTTCCTATCATAATGACAACTCAAGTTTTACTCATGCTCTAAAAATATATTATTACTAGCACTGACCTCATAACTTACGAAACAACCTGAAAAATTTAAAAAACCTCAAATCCAGTTTGCCAAAGTAGCCATTGTGACCGAAACTGTTCATTGCAAAGTTCCTTAAGAATGTCTAATGAAGAATCCTTAGACAAATGCTCAACTTGTAATAGACGTTCTATGCACATTGTGATATGATCATCCATAAGTACACGCGTCATTAAACGCGACCAGAAGCCAGAAGGCACGTAAGCCATCATATATATCCGACGAACAATCTCCTACAAATTTTTATGAAAGAATAACTGAATATTACTATAACATTTGTATATCAAACTTTTGTAATATTGAAAAAAATACGCTGATGTGTACGAACAGCAAGTTTATATAAATTATGTTTTTTCCCAAAAAAATTTTGAATAGTAAACACCTAAAAAATTTTAAGAGCTGAAATAACTCACTTGTTCAAGGTACTTAACATTTACAGTACATCTATACTTCGTGATGTCTTTAGTTTCATCATCAAACTCATCTCGATCAGTAAAAACTGAAACTTTAGCACGTTCATCTGAGCAGTTTGTCAGTGGTGTTGCTTCTAAATGCTTAACATCACCAAAGTTTGATTGACAAAACAACGATCGTGACTTCGAATGTGAAATTTTCGTTGGATTTTGAACACCTTCGTTTTGTTTCATTGACATATGCCATGAGCTAGCTTTTGTTGGTACCTAAAAATGTGTTAAAAATTGGGAAGACGGATTCCGACAAAAATATAGCAAAAGCATACCGTTACTCGAGAACCTGGATAACCACCTCTTAGTTGGTATTCATCCGGTAACAACGAAGGGATAAGTAAAGAACGTGACTGCCAACATAAGGCAACCTCGAACTTTTGCAGCAAAGATATGATGTGAGACCTAGAAAAACGATATAATGATATGCAAAATAAAATCTCAAAACTCAATGACGACGACCTTACATACCTCAAACTAATAGCAGAACTCCTTAGATTGAGTGATTTGAACAACACTTGAAGGTCATCGATTTTCATAAGTCCATTGCGAGCAAAAGGATTTATTTCTCGAATTGTAATTACATGAGCTAATATATCACATAACCACTGAGGATCCAAGAAATATAACTCTTTGAGGGTAACGTCTTCATAATGCAGCATTACTCCTTTAAAAACGAACTACACCTTACTTGAGTAAGATTTTTTACAATCGAATTTAAAAAGCACAACATTTATTTACATTTATTTCACTTTGTAAGCAGTACCATTACCATTCACTTCCAGAGAGTCAAAACAACAATTCGAATATACTTTGACAAAAAATGAAATCTACCGTTCTCATGAAGGAATGAACATGCATGATTAAATTCAACATCATCGCGAAAGGCGCGGCCATAGTTTTTTAACATTCGTTCTTGTACAACGCGACGAAAATCAGCGCTTCTCATTAAAGGTTCTATTCCTGCTGAACGCCGTTCATCTCTCAATTCATCGACTATCTAGTGCGTGAAAAATAAGTACATAAAAAGGAGCACTGATAGTGAAAGATAATTTTAATCATTACAAAATATAATACTATGAAAGATTTCAAAAGTACTGAACATAGTCTTATATTTTGTAATGATATATAATCTTATATTTTGCATAAAATATCCCAGTATTGAAATAAAATAAAATAATATACAGTAAAATTCACTAGGATGCTTTAAAAATAATGATGTAAGCTACCTTTTCTAATGCCAAATATGATGCTGGAATCTTCTGATCTAAGAGTCGCTCTTTGCTACCAGCAGTACGAATATCATACGCAATCCGGTAAATCAAATTACAAAGCGTTCGAATATTTTGTTTTGTTTTCGAAGAAACAAAAAGTGATTCAACAACATATGGTAAACCTTTCTTATCGGCGTCAGATACCATTACAAAACGTTCTTCAAATTTACTTTATTTTCTTTTTCATGAGATCACAAACCTAATTTAGCCAAATATAGAAAAACCATTAAAAATATTTGTATCCACATATTTAAGAAGTGAAGAAAATTATAAGTAAAAATGCTCCTCATCAAACAGAAATTGTTGGACATCTTTTATTTTTGTCCAAGAACAAAAAAAGCATTCATCTTTCTTTTGCTACTTATTAAATATTCAAAAATAATTAACAAATACAACCTCTTATAAGACCATTCAAATCATCTAAGTAGGATAACGGGAATCGATCAGGATTCGAAAATATTTGATCAACATGTGTTCCTACAATGATTACGGGGGAATTTGGTGCACGAGCCTATAACTTTTTATGTGAGTAAAGTTAACAAAAAGCTTTGGCTTTAGGTTTATAATCAAACTGAATAGAATTTGCAAAACTCAAGCATTCAAAGAAAACATGTAAGCCAAAAAATATTTATGACCAAAAATAAAAGAAAAGAGAACAAAGTATAATTTCTTTTATCCAATGAGTATCAATTTTATCACAATCATCAATGATAAAGATCTCGATATAATTTTTTGACCTGTATATTGACAAGCCACTGATGCAAATCTGGCAACGCAGCTTCTCCATCTGACACTTTCCAAACTAACACATACAACGAACGTCGAGAAAGAAAATATTGATGAGTTGCATAATATTCACGCTGCCCACCAAAATCCCATGTGCGAAATGTAAGAGGACCAAAACTTGCTTCCCCTGCAATAAATGAACACGGAACTATGAACTTTTAGTCAGAAATTATAAGTATTTGAAGGTGAAGAACATATTTAATGAAGGGACAAAAAATATACAATGAATCCAGAGAAAATACAAAAATACTTATAATTTCTGACTAACAGTGATTTTTTTCCTTGCTTTTTCTGTGCTTGCTATTCTCATAAAACACCAATACAAGTAAACAAACCCTTTGTCTTTTTAGGCTCAAATGTCCATTCTGCAATATCAACACCAACAGTAGAAATGTTTACACCCTTTGCAGTACGATCTCCACAGCTGCCTGAAGTATGTCCCATTCTTTTTGACCAACTCTAAAAGTGTACACGATAGATTTTATATATTTAAATAGTGAACAAAATTTAAGGAACAGGAATTTTTAAGCAATGTGACAAAGAGTCATGAAGAATCGTGTAATGTAAAATGTTCAAACGAAAGACAAGTAGTAATAACTGAACTACATCGTTTTGAGGACTTCTTTTGCCAACTGTGCCTTCTAGTCGAATCTGTTGCAAGAGTGATGTTTTCCCAATGCCTTGCACTCCAACAATCATTAATTTAAGCCGTGTATATGGACGAGAACTATAAAAGAAATTAATTAATTAAAGCACGTTTTATTTGGCTACTGCTATGTCCCCCATTTCTTACATTACCTGTAAAGTTATGTTAGTAATGTGATTTACTCATTTTTTCACGAATTCCCTTTCAAGGAAAACTCGCAATAGCTTGTTTGTCATTACTTGCTCTGCCTAGAAATCAGAAAATTTCTTATAAAATAAATCAGAGTTGCAAAACGATCTCTTTTTCACTACTGCACTTTTCATCACCACGCATCGATGCAAGCTATATGCTATATATCTGAAAATTTTTTGATGCAAATCTGAAGAGTTAATTGAAGATGACGTACTCTTCCAGTACAGATTTCAGATAAGCGATTAAATCGACTGTCTTATAGTTTTCTATGTGAACCATGTTTCTGAGCGGATCACGCAGTTGGCAACCTTTTAGGCTGAGATTCCAAAGTTTGCCTAAATGCGAATTTTTTAGTATTTTAAAAACGTCAAACAAAATATGAAAGATATAAAATTTACTCAGGAGTCCAAGCTCTGCAGGAAGGATTTCAATGCCACTATTTCCACTTAGATTCAATACCGACAAGGATACCAAGTTTGATAACGCCGCGGGAACGCTTGACACACAATTGTTGCTAATATCAAGCGTTGTTAATGTAGGAAAGAGCACATGTCTTTTAATCTAGAAAGAACTTAAGTGAAGAGGTTTAGTATATTTTTATTTACCATTATCTTAGCAGTAAGTATCAAGACTTTACCTCTGAATTTTTCTGCCGACTTTCACGTTGCTTCTTTTTTGGTGACAATGCAAGTTTTGATTTTGGCGCAAAAAGCGGAATTTCCATGAGCTTGTTGTTAGATAAATAAAGTGTTCGTAATGATTCCAGCCTTGCATGCTGTTTGTGAGGACATGCATTAACAACTGTATCATGCAAAAAATCTCCAACTCGAGCGACACTCAATGAGCGTTGACTTCGAACAGCTGATTTGGAACGAGACCCTGAAACAGAAATGTCAAAATGGATAAATCATATAAAGTATCATGATGAGCAACCAAATTATTTTTGCAATCTTATATATAGTTGAAATAAAGCAACAAAAATTGATCCAGAGTAACTTAGATTTCATATTTGAGCATCCAAAGACGAGGTACTAAAAAAACTACTAACGTGAATTACGTGCAGGACTCGTGTGCCTCAGAACTGAAATTCCATCTGTCTGCGAATTCACTGCATGACATGCTAAATCCACAGCACATGGATACTCGAAAGCAGCGACAAGATGATTGTTAGAAACATCCAAGTGTCTCAGTCGAGAAGGTAAACATTCTACTGGACCGAGAGATGATAATTGATTATGTGATATATTAAGTCTAGTCAACTTTGGACAGCAGCATGCTAAGCATGATGGCATTATTTTAATCTAAAACAATAAGTTTGTAAAAAACTGAGATATAATAAACAGACAGTATTTGCAGTTCTTAAAGATACAAAGTGTTTGCTATTATTGTTATCGATTTGAGTTTAATTTTTGCGCATATTTCTATTTAAATGGAAAATTGTTGCGAAAATAACATACATAATTGCGTGACAAATTTAGGACGGAAAGCGTAGAAAATAAAGAGACGGTCCCATTCTCATTATCAGATTCATCCGACTGAGCTAAACGTATGCTTGTCTGCCAGACGTTGTGCCTAAAATGTACGAGGCATATTATGAAAGAAATCAACAATATCCTTGGTATCAGCAGATCCTTTTGAAATCAAGACAGTTATATTCTTTGGAAAAAAGGTAGTGAAAATAAAGGATGATGAAAAAATAGCTTATTATAACCTTTTAAGTTCATGAACAGTAATGTTCGAATCATCGTTGCGTCCACCAGTACTCAAAGAGTCATCCGTAGATAAAGTGCTTTGATTTGTATGTGCATCTGAGTGAACAGATTCTGGCTGATCATTTCCAGAAATACTACTAGGAGGCCGAGGTTGCGAAGAACCAACTGCTGGTAATACAGAAAGTGCATTGTTAGACACATTAAGCTCTCGCAATCTTGGTGCGAACCACAGCGTTTCCGGGAGAGAATTCAATTCATTATGCGATACATCTAAGAAACTGAGCATTGGCAGTCTAGTCGTGAAAAACTGCAAGTAGCAGAGATTATATTTTTGTAAACCTTAATTGGAATGTAACTGTCTTAGCATACACTACATTTTAAACAAAACAATACTCTTTTGCCAATAGAAAAAAAAGGAACAAGCAACACACTTCTTAGTTATATTGAAAACATACGTCATTTGGTAGCGAGGAAAGTTTGTTATATTCCAGTGATAGGCTTTCTAGGAGCGGTGCATGAAATCCATCCCGTGGAAGTTCAATTTCTTTAATTTCATTATTTGCTAGATTGAGATTTCTTATTGAAGGTAATTGTAATAATTGTCCAGCCAACACCTTCATTTTATTCTTTGATAAATCAATTCGTGTGAGCGCTGCTAATGCCATTCTGTGATATGACAAGATAAGTCTCCAAAAATTATGTGTTCTTTTCTTTCAATTCCCTGAGCACATAAAAGTATCCCAGATTTGTGATTCTTGAATTCTTGAGCCAAATATAATAATACTTTGTCAAACTTAAAATGATGTCTCGTCTGTTATAAAGTACAAAAAAATAGTTGATTTACCGTGATGTCCTCAATCTCTGATTCACTTGAAGGGAAGCAGCAACAAGCCATTCATTTGAAACAGTCTCTAAACTCGCATTATGCCAGTTGAGCATGCAAGGTGTTGTAGGATAAACCGTTGAAGGTAATAAATTGCGATTGATCGACATCTGTCCAAAATCCATATTTTTCTTATTAACTCGATATTCGGGATCCACAAATGCAAGTCGCAATAAGAAAAGCCTCACTAATGCTTCCTGATTGAACTAGAAAGAAAAATATGAAAAAAATAACAAAACCTTCAGTGATCAAAATAAATATACCTTAAAAGCTGTAGAAAGGGCTATATTTTCATGATCAACAGCACCTTGCTGGAACAAATATTGTACTAGAGGGACAGATCCAATTCGACAAGCTTCACTAAGAGCACCGGAGCCAATACATCGAGCCCCCTCAACACTGCTGATGTCAGCATCTGTGAGTCCACAAGGGAGATTCACATCAGCGCCATGGTCAACCAGCAACCTACATAATCAAAATTTAAAAAAAGAAAGTATAATAACAAATGATACATCAATACAGCGATGTTGCTGTCTTGTTTTCACATATATATCTTTGCAAAATGAAATTCTCAAGAAAGACAACATAATAACAAATGATATGCTAATATGGCGAAAACATGTCATTACTAACAAAATTGAGATCATGATTCATTTCTGCAAAGATATATAGATATATAGGAAAAAACAAAATAACTTGAAAAATGAAAACAACATCTAAATACTTTTTTACATATCAAAAAAATTTATTTTCAAATCATTTTAATCGAGATTAGGGATTTGAAAAAACCTCTCTTTACAGTCAAGGGTATTCACTGAAAAAGTAATTAGATAATTATATGAACATTATTTCTGAGTGTTGATATACATCCAGTGTATTTTTCGCTTTAATAACGAGTGGTGATAAATTAGTTTAAACAAAATCAGACATTTGATAACATAAATGGAAAAAAGACGTCATTAAGGATACAGCAGACTAAAATATGCTAAAATTACATAAAGTTGAAACGAAGTCAGCTTGTTTTATGTTATGACACTGACAACCATTAAAAAATTACTTCACTATAGCTATATTGCCATTTGCAGCAGCTACCATTAGTGGGGTCCTTCCACCTCTACAATACACATCAATTTGAACTGGACATTTGCGATCACTGTCCATTGATGGAAATTCTACCTGAACAAAGAAAATAATATAACAATGCCATAACAAAAGAGTGAACCAAAAATTACAAATCACCACAGGAATATTTTAAAATGAAATTTTAAACGCTGTATTAACCTCTAGTAAATATTTTACTACATCGTAATGTGAATTCGCGACTGCCAAATACAAGGCCGTACGACACTGCGAATCCAGTGCATTTACATCCAATACAAAACGATAAGTGAAACGTCCAGAAACATCTTCAATTTTCGTAATAACATCCTCATCATAAGGAAATTCCATTAGCCTTAATAATGAATATTAAAACAAATAAAATATAAAGACATTCTACAATGAATTATAAAATCTACATTACTTAAAATTAGCACTTCTCTAATAGCTAAATAAACGATTCTCACTTTATAGTTCTATATCCAAGATCTAAATTTAATATACCTTCTTGAATATTGATGTCATTACATAAAACATGCACTTACTCAAGTTTTAAAAATACTAAGCCTACTGATAATTTCAGAAAATGGAAACCCACACAAAAAAAACGTACAATTTGACAACACTCAAATTACCACACTGTGAAGCCCAATGCAGCGCTGTACTACCGTCGACATTTTTGGCAGATACCAAATGTGTAAAAGCCTGAAAACTTCACACAGTTTATGTGATAAATATGTCTGTCTTTTTTCAGAACAGTGTTGCAAAAACAAACTTTAAGGATCATTTCCACAATAATTGGGTCTTGGGATGATATTGAAGCATGTAACATTGTATCGTGAGTACCTGGCTGTATCAGTGTATGGCCTCGAACATTTAATAAAGCTTCAACCACTTCTTTTCTTCCATTTAAGCAAGCTCTACAAATTCTTTTATCTACTTTTATAAGCGACAGAATTTACTTCTATGAAAACTTTCATTCTAGAATGAACTGTAGTTTAGGCAGCAAAATTAATTTAATTCTTTCAAATGACTAAATTTATTAGAGCTTATTTCTCCAAATATGTTAAGAAAATAAGACAGTTTCTGCTTCGTATCTTAATTTTTCATTCTCATGACCTTTTTAAAAAGTGATCAGTATATTATTATAAGTTTCGAAAAATTAATTGTAAATACCACAATAGAGGATTGAAACACACAAATATAACGCTGATTTCCGATCCAGAGTTGCACCATTTAAAATTGCATCACTATTAGCACCAGAAAGATTTGGCAAAATCTTAATTACAGAACTAACGTCACCTTCTTCTGAGAATTTAATGAGATCATTATGTAGCTGACAAATTCTATCACGATCTAATTCTGCAAAAAAAAAAAATGCAAAAAATTCAAAGACATGTAGAGAACTTATTGTTATTTTACGGGACTTTTTGCCGAAACCTGATTTTATTAACCACAATTAATAGACAAGTTAAAGTGCTGGAATTTGATAGCACCTTGATTTTTTGAACAAAAAATTTTCTCAAAATCTTAAAATGAATAAGCTCACGACTATTATTGCATAAACCATCTTGAATTATTACTATTTTCGTAACCATCAATATTCATAACTAAGTGCAGTAAATTTATTAAAAATCGAAGTGAAATGAAGGAATTTTTTGGATCAATTTTAGAGATGACAAAACATAACAAACGTAATTCATAGCATTGAATAATATTTCCATTTATGCAATCGCACTCGTTGTTTCATATCATTTTATATCCCTTTGCTCATAAGTTAATTAATTTAAAATCAAACTTAAATAAATAGCACCAAGGCTGATATCCAAAATATTATGATTAACGGCACAAACCGATAGCATCAATGAGAAGACAAGCTGTCTCAAATTGATTAGACATCTGTGCTAGTTCTAATGCACAATGGTCATTGAGATCAGTAGCCAGAAGCTCTGCTCCAGCTTCAATTAAATATCGTACCGCTTCTAATCGTCCGGCAACCGCAGCAATGTGCAAAGGAGTGGCGCAGAGCGCATTTGGTCCAGCCATACTATTTACATCGGCTGTAAATAAAACATGAATGATGGGAACATGAAATTCTGTATAAACATGACATAAATTCACAAATCGACAGATTCTCGGAAAAATAAAGACTTTAGTCAAGAATGCATCAAGGAGAAATGATTTGAATATGGACCTCCAGCTTTTATCAAAAGATCCAAAACTCGCACACTACCATTTTGTGCAGCAATATGTAGAGCACTTTTGCCGTACTTGTCTCTATAATGCACTTTCCCTGGATTAATCTTTAAAAGTTCACGCAGGAGCTCCTCGTTGTTATATATCACCGCCTTGAAGTATTGCTTTTTTCATTTCACATAATAACAATTTCCAATATTTTAGGTGGCATGACATAACTGTTCAACCAAAGACACTTCACGTGAAAGTACATATACATTTTTCAGCATTCAATTCTTAATATTGCCAATAAATAATTTGAACGTAATTAATGAAATAATACAGTACGAAAAATAAAACAGTAAAATTTTTTACTTCATAAATTAACTGGCCAGTATCTTCTGAGCTCAATATATCATCCATAAGCTTTGATTTGAATCTTCAAAATGGCATCACAAGATATTGGAAATAACTATGAATGAAGTATTAACATGAAAAGATCACGATAAAATTCACTGACCACAACTACCATCATTGATGATCAGGTACCTTGTAAAGAACCCATTACTGAAAATAACTTCAAGATAATGATTGCAGCATACTTTTTGAAAATGAGCTATACGCATCCACTAAAAATATCATGTTCTTGATTGTGCAAATGAAACATTCTATTGGTGAAACAACAAACTGCCTCTTCTAGGGTTTTTACTATCATGTGAAATATTTATATAATCATAAAATACTACAAAGTACTGTAGACACATGTTGCCTAATACTCAGTATTTTTGAGATAACTTTTAGCATACATCTGCCAGAATAGACACCAACTTAAAAATATTATATCTCTCCAAATTTTTATATAACCACTTCATATCATTAAAATTATTTACTCACATTATACACTTTTTGTGGAAATGCATTCAAAAGGCAGCATATAACCTCTCTAAAATGCTGAATTTCAATATTCTCTTCATTCGCTACCTTCCTCTCACACACAACAATCCTGTTAACTTCTCACGTAATTTGAATGAATAAGACTTACGTGAAACTAAAGTGAAACAAAAAGATTTAAAGCATTACACAACACATATAAGAAACACATCTTTGAACCAATATTAAGTTATAATGAAGCAATATGCAAAATAAATTTTGACTTGCACAATAAATGCATTAAAAAGGCAAAAGCCAATCTTTATTTCATTCCAACGACCAATTAATTTAGAGTGTCTACATAGAGATGCAACATTAACTGAGCAATGACACAACACTGCTACGCAAAATCGATGTAGTTTTTTAGCTCACAAAATATCAAACAGGTTTTATTAAAGTCAATAATGAAAACAAAATGATATATCTAAAAAGAGCAAGAAATTAAACAAATATTTAAAATCTGAGCAAAATTTAGTATTTTCCAGGCCAAACCATATATTAGATAATCAACTAAAATCACATACAATCCCACAGTGCATGAAATTTTACTAATATAAATTTCATTCGGTCATTTCAACATCATTTATGTCCAAGTCATCCATCATTTCTTGTAATGAGGGTCCACATGGAAAATCAAGTTGTGAGCCTTCTTCCGAACAAACAATAAGTGGTTTATCATAGTCTCGATAAATATTGACTTTTTGCCTCATTTGGTCATCTTCTTCTAAGTCTTCCAGAAACTTCTGCAATTATATTAATCATTTTATTTCAAAAACATACCACAGCAGCAGATTTTTTTAAAAAAAACAATATTTATACCTCAAATTCTCTTTCTATGGATTCCGCATCATAAACATTTTTGTTGTTTAGAATTAATCGCTTCAGCTTCCAATTACGTCTTTTTCGTCGCAAATTCCGATCATAAACTTTCCGAACAAGAATAACATCAGGTATCCTTTCTTCTTTCAACTCGTCAAGTAAAGCACTGTTCACGTTGATTTTGCTTAAATCATAACCTGAAATTTAATAATTACTGAAAAGTTCTCTGATCACGCCATTGAAGAACACATAAATAATGTGGCAAATTAATAAGACTATAGCGAAAAAATAGTTAACCTAGAACTAAGTCTCCTGGTTTGAGCAAATGTCCAAGATGACTTCGAACACAAACTTGATGATCATCGTGTCCAACCTACAATTTTGAAATTCCGCTATATGAGATAAAGCAAAATGCACAATTATTCGTATGAGAAGCATATTAAAGAAGTAGTGCTGACACACTGACTATAAAAAGATTTTTCATTTTGTATAAACTCGTCTTTTATGTACAAACATCAGTTAACATTCACAGATTATTATCTTCCAACTAATAACATGATTATTTAGATTTTAAATACATCGACTACAGCATGATTTCAGAGTCAAAAAAGCAGTTCAATACCTGACTGCTAGGAACTATCCAAACATCAACTAAACGATGCTTCCTGGACAACTGAGTCAATGACTCAGTTTTTGATGAAATATCAACATCTTCTACATCAATTACGTAAAATTCCTTTAACTGTTTCGACTGGCATAAAGTTGAAAAGGGATCACGCCAATATTGAATTCTATAATATGGTCTCATTACATATTCGATAACTTCATGAAAAAAGTTTGGAGGATTTAGAATATAGACAAAAAAGAAAGAATTAGAAAGAACTTTCGAGGATTTTTACGCTACCAAAATATTAAGTAACTACAGTTTCAAAACAAAGTGACCGAGAAAATAAATTTGATGAATCTTACGAGTTGATATCTGCTACTTGAGAAGTTGTTGGATCAATTATACTAATGAAATTGTTTACTCTGGAGCACACAACGAGTTGATTGATACTGCCCAAAGACTGAGCTATTTTCTTCGGTAAACATATAAGATCATCCCGACAGATAGGTACTACATATACACAAAAAGTGTGCTTATAGTCATAAGTATTATTTTTAGAATCATGTGTCACCAATTCCTGCAGTTATATATACTGCTAAATCATTTTTCGTAAATTTTACATTAGTAAACCATGCATGAGTTAAACATCACTAATTTTTCTTTTACAAGAACAGATAAATAATTAATTAGAATGAGTCAACTTGGAAAGATACAAAATATAAGCAGTGGTCTACAGTACCTGTATTTTTCCTTAAAATTACAGGAAACATTGCAAATAAAATACATAAATGGTCATACCTGTGCATATGAGTATTTGCATGGCAAATGGGAAGTAATGAAATCAACAAATTTTCTGGCATCTTGCAATTTTGTGTAAAAAAAATCGATCCCCGTGGGTACAGGCTTGACACCGATCGCGCTTCTGTGAATATCATGTTTCAGAACTAGCTGTTCAAGGTAAAAGAGAGTTTTCTTAAAATCACATTTTTGACGAACTTGAACGCAAGCACGCCAAAAATCTTTAGCTTCAGCACGTCGGCAGTCGTCACACATCTGAATGAAATGAACATGAAAAATACGATATCTGACAAACCTTATTGATAGCTTATCAGATACCGTATTTTTTGCTCTATATGAATTTATTTTTCGAATAATAACATGAAAAGTATTAATAAAATCAATAGGCAAAAAAAGTCTTTAATAATTTCATGTCTGTCAGCTAGTGATCGAACTTAAAATAATAAATACTAATTAAACCACAAAGAACACTAAAAATTTTGCTTACTCCAAGTTCAGAAGCTATTTACTTTATGGTATCATATAGAAGATAATAACGAGTAACAGTACCTGATTCATAATAACAAATTCAACGATGAAACTCTGTTGAAGAACAGCACCAGTCATCACCTCACTTTGGACAGTAAGCTTTAATTTCACTCGTTTAGAATGAGGCTCTGTCCATACAAAAGAAGCGTCTGTAAGACGAACCTAAAAAACATACACCTTCTGTAAAATTCTGCTTTAAAACTGAACATTAAATTCACCTAAGTTAAAGCAGTAACAAAACTTACTTTATGAAAAAAATTTATACAACGAAATTGAATACATAACCTTTGTCATAACTGGCTTCAACTTTTTCAGTAAAATAGCAAGAAGTTCCTTGGATTCTAACTCAGCACGTACCCAACCATTAGGTGGTATCAACCATCGATTACAGAACTTACACACGAAAGCTCGACCTAACAAAGAAATAATCAAGATAAATAGAATAAATGAAATTAGCATTATATAACTCACATTCGTAGAAAAAACTTACTTTGTCTGGGTATTTCCTGTGTGATATCAATGCGCGATTTCACGCAGGCCACACACATACTCAAAGCATTTGGTTCAATTGATGCACCACACTGACAGCATAGAATTCTCCCAATCGTTTCTTCAAACATGTCAAACGAACTCATGCCAATCCTCTAAATTAATATCGTTTATGCATTTATGCTATAGTTTCCGAAACATGCACAGATCTTACTTGCTGTACTGACATCTTTTAAATACAAGAATGTTAGACTAAAACCTTAATTAACCATTTTTTTCATCTAAAAAGAACAAAAACTACAAAAAAAAATCTATCCTACTCCCTATGAATGCTTGACATAAATGCTGTCAAATCAACAAAATTTCTACCAATTCCATAATTAGTAGTAACAAACTTAATTATTTCAGTAAACAATCCCTGGATTGTGTCAATTGCATAAGTATGCTGACTCTATCATAGTTGTACAAGTTTCTTGCAATCTCTTTGTGTTACACTATGAAATTCCGTTGTTTTTCTTGCACGTTCTCTGCTCCTCAAATTAATTCTGCAATCTTCTGCTGGGTAAACTCTGATTTCAGTGTACTTTTACTGCACAAGGCAAGGAAATTGCATCTCAGTCTCATTTTATCATATTAAATAGAGAAACACTTGACAGATGAGCAAGACTTGCCAATGTCAGTACCAGCTTACAATCTTTTACCTCACCTTCAACTTGTGAGCGCTTTTGTTATCAAAAATTAAGCACAACACACACGTAATCAGAATGGTTAGAACGCAAGTAACAAATTTTTTTTCTTCACATTCTTTCTCAGTTTTATTATCGAAAATGCTATGGAACGGCATAAGAGATCATTTGGATAGAGTTTAAGGCCAAAGAATGATAAAGATTGACGATGACACAGAAATGACTTTGACTATTCTCTGTCCACAGGGGAGCATAACTGATGACGTAAGAACCGATGATTCTCAACGCATCATGAGAAAGCCATATTACTTGGTGAATATATGGCATACTAACAAGAATACACAGAAAAGGTACAATCAGTTGTCAACATGAAGTGCATCAGATCTATTACCAACAAAGTTTTCTGATCCGCGATTGGAATCATCTGCAGTTTCTTTCTCACAACCAAATACACACAGCAGTCTCAAAAATGCTAGTCTTGATGTGCGTTGTAGCATTGGTACAGTCACACCCATAACCGCGAAAGAGGCTATCCCATCAGCTACCAGAACAACTCCTTGCATGCACATAAAAAATGCTTGGTACTTTGTACGGTTTCCAAAACTCTGAAATTATTATTATTTACCAACTGTTTTAATCTTGAAATGTTTAGAATTTCAAATCTGTTAATCTCTTTTTACTTGGATTACTGTTTTTGTTTGTATGAGGAAAATTATGAAAATTAACTGATCATAAAGATATAAATTGTAAAGAGTTATGATGTATGCAGTAAAAAAAAAGCAAAATACTAATTCTGTTGAGAATAATGTTATCTTAAGCTGATAAAATTACTAGTTCAGAAGTGGAAAATACACTCACGAGAGCAGAAATAGCGTAGTGAGAAAGCACTGCAAAACAAACACCTAGCCACCAAGTGCTAGTAGTACTTCTTTTTTGACAGCCATCCCAGAAAAGCACAGTCCAGAAGACATGGCACAAAGTAAGCATGCAAGCTGATATGGAATACGTTATCTAGAAAATATGATGTAAAGGCATACAGTCATAATTAGTGAGCAAGAGTGAATCTATCATTAAAAAATTTTTTCGTGGACATTCCTTGGTCCTATTACTTTATAAAAATATACATGTGGTTAAATAAGTGCAAGCAATTCTTCTTTTTATAACCTACAGCGAAATTCTGATCATCAGGAAGAAGTTTGACGGTGAAACGATCTGATGTCTGAGGCACACTAGCTGGCAAACCGACAGTACCAGAACCCCAAAAATCGGCAATAACATTGATAATAAGAAATAAAGATGCCATAACGCCCATTCCTAGTCCACATACAACTGCTAACATATGTCGAGCATGTTGCAAAGCGTGCACTCCAGCTAATTTTTGATCATTGCTAGACATACGATTCAAACCTCTATAAAAACAGCATCTTAATGCATGTAATTTGCAACAGAGCATTTGTAGAAAGACATGTATAGGCAACTCAAATGCAACATAGAAAACCAAAAAAGTCAATAAAAATGAAACACTAGGAAAATCTATCAAGAAACGAAAAAAGGAAGAACTAGAGATAGCCGCACAGATTTCCAGTATGATAAGAAATTATTGGAAATAAACTGAAAAGCAAGCAGAATAATAGAAAGTGATTTACTTTTGAGCTTTTTTAAGAAGAATAAAATGAAGCAGTCTGGCGCCTTCTTGCAATGCAACGGAAATCATTACTGCAAAGACTATGTGCTCTCTCAATGGTACCACTGCAAACCAGACGCATGCTGAGAGTAGTAACGATAGTAGCCAAAAAAATGCACTGCAAAGTTAAACATATGGCATGAAATGAAGGATGTTGAAAATGCTTTACCATATGAGATTCTGAGATATAGAAGAAGATAATAGTATAGCAAGTGTTAAACACTACCTGAATGATTAAGAAAGCATCAGTGGTTCTAAACATACCCCAATATAAATAGTATTACTCGTAGTGGGTCACTGGCAATAATTCGTCGGAAGATGACAAGTGCAGGAGAAAACGCAATGAGCAAATACCCAATACCCGCTAAAGCCGTCATCGAACGACCTGCAGTTCGATTTGAAAATACTTAATAACAATATACACAATCATTTCTTAATCCATTATCTCCCATTATTTAGTTCTATGAAGAGCTACGAAAAAAGACTACTGCTCACATTAAAATGTTAAGACACAACTGAAAATAGACGAATTTATTTCTTTATTGGCTTCTCTTCCCCTCCAATTGTTTGCAGATTCGAAATCGTATAATCTAATATATTAACAAAAAACCCCTCACTCTGCACAAATTGCTACACTATTCACTTAAAGCATGAACTAAAATATTCATGATTGATAATCAACAAATTGCTCCAGTTTCTGAAACTGTTTTTTCAACTTTATGTACGACACAGATATCAAACAGAATATCCGAAAAAATGATTTCTCGCAAGAGTGAAGATTTTTTAGCAGTCTTAGACAATCAATGAAAACATACAAAAATACTAACAGTAAAGTACAAATGAAGTGATACAGCAAATGCCAGACCATTATCTCTAATATAATTGGGTGGGTAGAACGTCCCCACAATGAACAATGCTTTTGTTCAAATTAAATTTATTACTAATATTGTTATTGCGTTCCATGACAAAGACGGAGACAATAAGTATAAAAGAAAATTATTCAAAAGTATTATTCATAGTCCTCGGATTTGTCAAGCAACAAAATTTTATTCCAACCACTAAACAAAATGGAAGCTGCTACAATTAAATTGTCCAGCAATAAGAAGGAAGTCACACAATAGCATATATGTATATATATATATCACACAAAGAAGCATTGCACGTATTTTTTCACCAAATAAATCTGAATGTAAATACATTTTTGATATTTGCAAAAAGTAACTAATTACCCACTCCCTTTATCCTTACATTTCGATTTAATTTTGGTGCAAATTCAAATTACACCAAACTGATAAGTTTACAAAAAGAATTAAAACTGTAAATGTGGTGAATACAGACCGTTCAAAAAATCAATTCACTTTTGCATATGAAGGTGGGGAAAATCGTCTTCTAAGTGCCTTGATAATGTAAAGTGGGAAGCATGAAATGGCTGTGATTGCCGTTGTTTTCGACAAGAAAATCCAAGTTGTGACAAATTGACGATCAAAAAAGTTATCCATTAATAGCAGAGATCCCGCATATAACCCCAAAGAAAGGGCCTGAAAAAACGAAATTATTTACAATTTCTCAACTTATACGTGGAAAAATAATACCTTTTTGCATATCATTTGTTTTGCAACAGATCACTTCGACTATCATTCAAAACTTTGTTATTGTCTACATTCATCGAAAAGTTCATACTTTAGTAAGTTGCTAGTTTGACAATTTACATCATATTACATAAGGTACAACACTGATTAATCTTTGATAAATAAAAGACACAAGTCTTTCATTAATAAAGCTTTTAGATGAGATAATACTTTCAACGTAACAATCATTTGTCAAGAGTGTATTTGAGACTAATATAGTTTTTGGTTCAAAATAATATAAGTAACTCATCACTAAAAATAAGACAAACGACAAGACCTACTGATTTAATCACACATATATGTCTATAAAAAAAGACATATCAACTTTACAAAGCATTTTTTTTAAAAATTCTTATATTTGCTGATACAAGTTTCTGCTTGCTGAAGACTTTTACATATATTACTACTAGCATCACAATATTAGAAAATACTTGAAAAACAAACCTGAGCAAGAAGCATAGCCCAATGCCAAGTATGTATAGTAAGTGCTACCATAATTAATTCAGTGACGATCAAAGCAGTAAAACTGATCGAAACTACGTGAATAAAATCGGAATCAAAGACAAGTAAAGCGCCGTACATGATCACAGATCCTATGTATTTTGAAACTTTATTAACTGTACTTGTGAAAAAATTTTCCACAGTTTGACAGACTACTAATTAAAACAACTAACCTTGGTAAATACTGATAAGAACCCATATACAAAAAGTTTTATAAGATAAAGAGCGACCTTTACCCAGCTCCTTATAAAGTTCTGGGTAAGTCAAAGCATTTAAAGCAGTCACATCTCGATCAACAACTAAGGAAAACACTGGTAGCATTGTGTAAACCGTTGAATATCTACAAAAATATTTTACTAACAAAATTTAAATGTTAAAAGCGGTTTTCATATTTTCTCTCATCATAAATTTTTAAGAAAACAGTAAATATTTTTCAACCAAGAAATAATTAAATTAGAAAAAACAAAAAATTTTACAGTATAAATGACCTAGTAATGAATTTCAATCTTTCTATGAAATCCTAAAAAGTAAGAAAGAGTAAAAGCTGTGCGCTAAATCTATCAGATAACTCCTAAGAAGCAACTTACCTCGGAGGTTAAGGCATTAATGAAAAAATATGAGAAAAATCAACTTACGCAACCATCAATACTCCTTGATACAAAGAAATAGAAGCAAAATAAAATACACACGAGAATATTGCTTGCATGATAGATATGATGAGACCTAAAGAGAAATAATTGAAATATGGGCTTACTTAGATACAGTGTTTATGGAATGAAACTATGCAGTCACCTCTATGCATTACAAACTGAGAAAGTGCACATGAACGTTTGTAACAGTAACGCCCATGAACAAGTAATAATCGGCAAATGTGTGCAAATTGAGGAATAGAAAAGTCGGCTGCTAAAGAAGCCTGTTTTCCTAGAATAAAAGCAATGATATTAAAATGCTGGAATAGAGTGAACTTGCGAGTAAAGAAATATATTTCCCATTGCATTCAATATAATGTGCACTACATTAAATATAATAAGGTCATTAAGATGACAATATGAGATAAAATTAAAGCAAAATTTTCGTTTCGTCAAGTTAAAATGAAAAACATGAGGAAAACTAACAAAAACATTTACAACAGCAAAAAATTATCAAAGAATAAGCCTTGACCTACACTTAAGCTGCATTTAATAGAATATAAAATGTTGAATTCTTCTTGAAAGAATGTGAGTCTTTCTAGGTAATTTTTTAAAATTAAAAGAAGCGCTGGAGATGGATTTACCTTCGTGAGCATCTATACCAATTCCTGCATGTGCTGCTTGTATCATAGATACGTCATTACCACCGTCACCAATAGCGGCCACTCGTAAGGGAGAGCGGTATTTTCGAAGCAAATTGACAAGTTGCGCTTTCTGCTCGGGTGAGCATCTACAGCATACAACGGCAGTACATGCACATACCTGAAGTTAGTTTCAGATTACTATGAAATACAGAGGCTCCAAAATCCTGTAAAATGACAAGTTTTGGTTATCCTGACTTAAAATATAAAGTTCTGACTATACAATGAATTACATGAACCATGATTTCTGCATACACTGAATATGAAGCCTATTTTAATGTATGATTCTGTTTTATTTTTAAAAAAAAAATTAACAATACAATTAAACAAACGTACTAGTTCTGCCACCTCCGCTTCATAATACTGCAAACAGACATTAAGAGCAGATCCAGGAAGAACTAATGCCACATCGTTTTTTCTACAAATGTTTAGAGAGGTGTCGCATTATCCCTGTAATGTGTTGTTCTAACAGAAAAAGTTTAAAAAAAAACCTTCTCAAAGCATTCAGTTCGTTATGAGCGTCTATTCTAGTATGCACTTGTCCAAATACATGAATATTATCTGTTTTAGAGAAAAGTCCTGACGATTTCGCAATACAAATAGCTGTTTCTAGCTTGTCTCCAGTCAACATCCAGACTTTTATGCCCGCATTTCGAAGGAGTTCTAATGATGTCGTCACTTGGTCCTATAATACGCAGTATATTTTTGACGTTCACGACAAATATAAAAAAAGAAATGAAAAAGATAGTATAATATGACGATTTAAATAAAATAAATACTTGTTATAGCTGAAACAATACCTATGAAGAAATCTTCCAATTAATGAAGCACAAGAAATATCATGAAAATGACAAATAAAGTCCTTAAAATTTTAGATACGTTTTTAAATAACCTTTAACTATGAAAACTTTTGTAACAACAAATAGAAACAATCAAGATTTAACTACGATTATCCACTACAAATTAACGTGGTTTAATAAACTAAAATAGATATATACGTAATATTTTATTTACACTACAGATCACGACTGAATAAATACCTGCAATCTATCTTCAACACCAGTCAGACAAATCAGCTGCAGATCGGTTTCAAGACGTCGTAGTACAGCAGCCATATGCTCATTTCTATCTACCACAGTCATTTTAGCCTGATGATAATGTTTCTCGAAATCAGTTAATTGCTCTACAGTTAGAACTTTCTTCGCAACTACCAGAGTCCGCAAACCTACGACCAAACCTATTATCAAATTATTGTGGCACATTTCTAGAAAAAAAAAATGAAAAAAAACCTTCTCTTGCCATATTACTACACTCCTCTTCCAGCCAGTCATTGTACTGTACCATACCAGCCATCACAGTATCAGCACCTTTCATCAGCAAACTAATTTCATCGCTTGTTTCATCCTAAACGTTATTCGCAATCTACACTTTCAAATTTCGGATATGTGCTCTTTGAAGCAATAGTTCATTTATTGTTGCAGTAAACAACCAAACATTCCCTTTTTATCCACGAACAGAAACATATAAAATCATAAAAAGATAACTCCTTACTTTAACAATGATACCCATTCGTTTTGTTTCGGAAGTAAACGGAAATAAATGAAGAATCTGAAAACTTTTCGTCTGACCGCTAGAGAGCTGTAGTTGCATCGAAGTGAGGTCACGCTGCGCTAGCCGAACGCCCACTTGTTCTGTCCATCGAACTAATGCAACCTGCATAGTTTTTCTGTCTATTCCAATACTCCATAGATACATTTTCGTGTCTGTTCAAAAATGAATAAAGCATGAAAAATAAAACCTCATCAGGACTGGCAGCTTGGTAACTAATCTGACCGTTTTCTTCTGTAGGCGTTACATTGTGACAAAGAGCAATAGCCTCTACTGCTGTCTGTAATTTAGTGGAAAATGAATGACGACCAAGCTTCCCAGAAGACGCGGATAATACATGTCTTGAAACATCCTGAAGAAACACTTCTAAGAAGTTCTGAGAAACCAATAACTCTATTCGAATATAATATACTCAGCTGCATCTATTTTAAAAGATATTACAATAAAGAGATACTTCAAAAGCATCACTACTGAAAGCCACTGTTCCTAAATGGATTTTCTTGAAGCGCATTTCATTCATTGTTAATGTACCGGTTTTGTCAGATAATAAAAATGAAATTCTGCCCAATTCTTCAGGAATAGTGCTACTGCGGACAACTGTATCTGAAATTTCAAGCAGTTCATATGTAATTCTATTATATATTCAGTAATCAGTAAAACAATTAAAAATCAAATATAACTACCTTTAATGTGATGGTCCCTTCCGATTTGCCAAGAATAAAAAAGTTTGGCCATATCTAAGTTCACACGCAAGGAAATTGGAATTATATATGAAAACAAGAGAATAAATCTCATCAAGTAGCGATACCTGAATTGAAAATTTTTTCCATTCTGAACATATAAAGACTTGTAAGAAATATCTTCAATGAAAAAAAAATAACATGTATAATGCGTAACCAGTTTTTGTCAACTCCCTTCATTGCGACCATTACTGAAGCCAATACCACCACAAACAAGAACAATATTTTGGTCAAATTATTTACCTCAAAATAAATACTATTCACACAAAATCAAAAACAAATACGAGAAATAGACAAGTTCTCCATATTATTTGTAAAATTGAATGCATGAATGGAATTCATATCTGAAAATTAAGAATCTTACTTCGACATCAAGCAATCCAACTTTACTTTCCGGCAACGTGGTATTCATAACAGATCTTGTTTCCCGACCAGTGTACACAACGATACCAACAACACGGCCACTTGCAAGCACTGTATTAGCCCACAACACATTTTCAACATTCAACGATCCATCTTGAGCCGAATCTTCTGAACTTACCTGAAAAAAAATAACACACATGTTTCAGTTAATTACTGTTGACATGCAACTTTAGAGAAAGTTCCATTAGGCTGAAGATGTTGAACGAGAACAAAAGTTACCTTGAAGGTGCCCACAAAATCATGAATATCTTTTTGCGGTTTTTCAGCATAAATTTCCAGATTAAGGTCGAATATGTCCTGCAAACAAAATAAACCTCAAAAATTATAAACGTACTCTAGTAATACAAAACCAGTGTAGGAAATACAAAAAACCTGATCCAATGCAAGGTTTTGTGTCACAGGTATAGCAACTCGAAGTTTCCAGTCAGTTTCACCATCCAATTGATCTGTTCTAATAAAAGATGCACCCGATTTTTCAGTAGTTCGTAATAAGACTACATCTGCTGGGACACGCTTATCTTTTTGTATAAGAATCAAATCGCCAACTTTGATCTTGCTTAAAATAGAAACTTAAAGCAATAGTTCTTCATTGAATCAAGAATTTTTATAAGTGATCTAAAGGTTCTGATGATCAAAAGACACTTGTATAAAATTTATTTCAAAGAAAAAAAAAACTTACGAGCTTGATATATAGTCGATACCCTGTGGTGTTAATTTTTCATATTTCTCACTATTTAGTTCTCGATCTCTCAAAAATCGAACAAAGTCATCCATAGCTTCTCGAATCAATGTAACCGTTAACACAAAACCCTATAATGTAAAAAACTAACTTTTTAATACTTATATGAATGCAGAATGATTTACAAAAACAACTACTGCTTACTAAGGGTCCCCAATAGGTAATTGGTGCTCCTATTTGGATTGCTGGTATGAATTGACTGCACGCCATTAGCAAAAAATACAAGTTTAAAAAGAATTTGAACTGTTGGAATAAGACCTGAAAAACCGTACAAACAAATTTGGAAAGGATTTGAAATGTTATACAATTGAGCTACATTTGCTAGTTCAAAAATCTTACCAATGGAACGAATGTGAAAATGTTATACTTCTGATTGCATACAGTATTGGGAGGAAAGGTGTGTGCAGAGCCCAGTACTGGCCCATGACCAACTCTTATTGTCCGAGAATGCAGCGTACGACGCCGACGAAGAAAATTCCAACAGCACCTAAATCTCTTTCAATTCTTAAACACATTTCATTAGAAATGATAACACCAAACTGTTTTCAGAACACTATGAATTTTGCGTGCAAATTTTATGACGACCTATGAAAATTCAACATAAATTTTAACCTTCAGCAGTTTATTTCTTCTCATTAAATTAATTTAACTTTTTTTTGTCTCTTACAGCTATAACAAGCTTTGATAACAAGTAGAAGAACGAAAGTAACGCAAAAATAATAAACGTTTTATGCACTATACACGCAACATAAAATTAAAGAAAATTTACACATTTTTGTAATTATTCGACTAATGGAAACAAGTTTGTCACCTTACAATGTACCTTGAAAGATAAAGAAAAAATGCCCATTTAAGTTAGAAAGAAAATAATAATAAGCGCTGTAATCCTCTCAAGCACAAAATAATTTTTCTGCTAACATCTCAGTTTAAGACAAATGATTCTGCTTGCTAAATTTAAATTCAATATCACCATACAGAGAATATTATTACAACCATGTAGTGAATAATATTATTTTTGGTCAAACAAGACATTCAATTATTATACAGGTTAGAAAATTTGAACACTTTTGAGATGCACAATGCATAATTCCTTAATTACAAAAAGAACAAGAAAAATATACCTGAACATAATGGAATCAAAGAATCTCATGAATCTATTGAATTTGAAAGGTGGTGAAGTACTTGCAAGAGGCAACAGAAAGATGTCGTCCCTGCTGGTACTAGCGACTGAATCGCTCATCAGTGGTTGAAACTCTTCCAACCGAATTATCTTCGTTTCCGATAGTACAGTTCCACGACTATAGCGCATACAACGTACCGCTACCCTTCACTCTTACTTCTTATTGGTGAACTCAGTTCTTCGCACTATGGAGACTTATGATGCTTGCGCAAGAATTTGCTGATCATATAATGAAAACATCAGGAACTACTCATAATTTCGTATTTTTCATACTAATATCACTCTTATATTACATTACTTCAAATATTACTCCCCCAACCACACTTATCTCTTTCCATATTAGAATAGCCACTATGTTATTGCTACCAAGCACTAAGAATCATATACACAGACAACGCTGAATCGTTACTACTAGCAAGTTAAACTCAAATTTTCACACAATGACATCTGTGCAACAACGACTTATTTCAGACCAAACTCGAAGTGAAAAACACTTTAAATGAAGACTTCAAGACAACCTTCGCGCCTATTTTCAGGCACTAATGAAATAAGAAGTGCTACTATTTACCGTCCAGCCTCACTGATAAAGGTAGCACGCCAATTATCTGCGCGAGATAGCTACTTCCGCACGTCCACCTCGAAGTTATCATGAACGCATCTGACTGTCAAGCTCAGGCAACTTGCTAGCTACGATTCCGAAAGCCGTAGCACATAACTCTCGAGCAAAGTCTTAATAGACGTAAGTCTATTTTGTGAATATATGATTTGACAAAAGATGGCAAGCTATGAGAATTCTTTGTTTTCAATATAGATCAATGCATGAAATTATATAATACTTTTATATGAAAACTCGTGTCAAAACAATTGAAAATAAATAAATAAAACGACGTAATAACAATAGTACAAATCACATCAAAAACAGTTCAAAAAACATGAACAAAAATAATGAAAGAAACGAACATACATCAGTAAACAATAGTAGCAGCAGCAGCATGTTTAAGGACTGCGATCTAAAGACAATTCTTTGACAAACTATATATCAAGATTACTTAACTGAAGCTGCAATCCGACTTATACCTTGATGAAAAGTATTTAAAAAGGAATGAGTACAATCTCGATTTCGTAAAACAAACATTGCAAGATTCCAAAAATTCCAAAAACTTTTAAAATCGAAATATGCAAAACAATTCTAGAACTGCTACCTAGTACTCGCTATACACAAGCATAAAATATAATTATTAAACAGAACTATTATAATTTCTGAAATGGAACACTTTGGAAATAATCTGTCTCAAGACGTAAAAAAGATGAGTTTGTGACTATATATGATGGGTAAATAAAAGGCATGAGCACAAATAGAAACAATGAATTGTTTTTCTGTGGAAAATAACTGATAACTTTGAACAACAGACACTAAAATTAGGAATCAACGAGTACATGTGATAGGATATGAAATCAACAGTTGTACTGATATACACATAAAAATATGACAATATCATTACTTATTACGGGAAGCACAGAAGAATGACAAGAAAGTGCAACCTAAGTTGAACTTAATGTTCCAAGCAAGTCAAAATAATGGAATAAATGATCATATTCCAAACCAGTAAATAGTAGCAAATAAAACAGTACGGTAAGGACCGCTTTCAATATATATGCAACAATAGAAAGCATTTTTGGGAGAAAAACAATTCAAGAAAGCAAAAGCAGAACATAAGAAAAATGGAAATAATACGTTTCACTTCCAAATTATGAACAAACATATCATTCATGACTCTCAATAGTATTCAGAAACATTCTCCTCCACAAGATTGCTGCCTATGCATATAACTGTAGCATTCTAATTTCTTATATAATTTTTCTGGACCTGATTCCAATAAATGAACAGTTACCGACAAGAAACAAACACAGTTAGTAATTTCGCCTATAACTAAATTGCATATCTTAAAAAGGCAAAATGAACAGTACTAGTAAGCAATGATTGCAATTTGTGGAGAATGATCAATTACTTGGCTTTAAGTCAAACTTACTGGGAACATGAAGACGATACAAAAGCAGATACGAAACACCTAACATGATGTCATAAATAATAAAAAGCAGTACCCGTCAAAAAAACAATGAATACTTTCTTGAGCTCATTTTCCTGCTCTAAAAACGATAACATGAAATCATGCTTGTCTCAGAAAGCCATCTACTGGTAGAATCAAGGAAAGGAACTACCAACTCCAGAAGAAAATGTTTATGCGACTGCCTGAACTGAACCAGTCGAAGCTGCAGAAGTGCTTCTTGATACAGCTTGAATTGGTGCAACTGCTACTTTCACATCACCATTCACTAAAGGTTTCAAAGGATTCGTAGATGAACTGCTTGTAGTGTGATTTTTGTTACTTGCATGGTAATTTAAAAGACCATTCTCCAACTTCTGCTTTTTAGACGGTTGTACCGACAAATCATCTTTCACCACTTTAACAAGATCCTCACTGGTATCCGCTTTATCCACTAATCCTGTAATAAGCAGAGAAATTTAACTAATATTTGCGTTCAACTAAATATAAATTATAGGCACAGATTCCAAGTTCAACTTTTTGCTTCATTCATAAAGAAACTGTTGCACTTCGTTGTGTATATACGCACTAATCTTTATAAACTGATTACCATGTAGAGCAAAAAGCTCTGGAATAGCCATGAAGGTTTAGGAAATCCATACATGAATGACGACAAAATGAAACCTTTGGAGACACCATTGTGTTCAGCTGGGCGTTTCCTAGAATTACTTTCTGGAAGAGCATCCGTCTCAGCCTCAACTTTCAAAAGTTTCATAGCACCATTCGTCCTTACGTTCAATTTGCTCTCATTTTTTCCTTGACATTCTTCTTCATCTAGCTCTTCTTTTTTACTCCTGTTATTTCCATTCTTGCTCGAAAAATGATGCATCGCATAAAGAACATTGGTAATTGTTTGACCGACTCGCGAATCCATCTGTAGTAATATCTCCTCATATTATTTACCATACTATTCCAAAAGTATTGAATTAAAACCAGAATATTCACCAAATGCGACATTGTGAACTGCAACAATCTTTGTTGGTGTCGAAAGAGATGCTGCCGGCATGCAGGCACTTTGCAAAGTTGCTGAAGAATAGATGCGGCTCTTCTTAACATTGGAACCGAGGTACCCATCATCTCTGGGTTATCTCTAAGTGCCTGAATCCCATGCTGTTGAGCGATCTGAAATTTACTTTATTACGTTTGCTTCTCCCTACCATGTTTATAGTATTAGAACATTCATTTTATTAGATAAAAAATGAAATGACTCCTTCTATAGTATGAGCAAAATTAAATCATACTATTTGTGCACTACAGGATTTCAAAGAACTCAGCAGTTATGTATTACCTTCCGATAGCTATTCATGAGAAAAGAGCAATTTCATTCTTATTCTTAGAAAGATAAATGTAAACACAGTAATTTAAAAACCAAAATGCTTTTGTTATGAACCTGATGCATGTTGGCATCGCCCATTTCAAGGAATGCCACTAAATAATGTATGGCCGGCGACTCAGCAGCAACGACGTAGCAAGTCTGTTCAGAAATAGTGCATAATGCACAAAGTATTACAATGGCAAACTCTCTATAAGAGATATTATAAAATAAAGGAAATTCAAAATATAATGTAAGAAGCTGATTTTTAAAAATGATACTGAACATATATATCTGATATTAAATAACTATTTACTCATTACTAGGCCATCAGTCACAAAGCTAACCGGTTTTACAAACATGTTGTTTATTTTGATCTTGGACGATAGAGTTTGATCTACTAACCTGCTCGGCACATCTTCATTTAGCGCTAGCAATGCAACTAAAATTTTTATGAAACATTCCAAACGTGACCATGGACCCGTAGACAGTAAAAGATCAACATTATGTTCGATTACCGACAACTTGCACAAAGCTTCCAGTGCGTAATTCCTTAATATTGTTTAACTTTTTCATCCAAAATACCATATTTTTTTTCACAGATAATACTGTAGCTCATCTCTACTACTTGTGTTTCTTCACATTAGCTATCAGAAAATTTTTGTCAATGACTGAAAATGAAAAAAAAAACCTTGGAGACACGCTAGCTGAAATCAATGGATCTTTCGCCTCTGCACACTTGCTTACACACCAATAAATGAGAGCATCAAATATTGGCCAAGCGATATCTGATTCAAATTCGATCAGATCCAACTGAAAATTATGAAACAAGAATAAAATAAAAATAAGATTCTTGTTTACATTAATACTACGTCAGATGACATTTCTAATTATAATACAAGTTGACGCGCCTGCACACTGATATGAACCAGAATAACAAATGCATCCTCCCGTAACTGACATGCAGTTTCAAAAAGTAACAATGCATCATCATCATCTGATTCAAGTAAATCTCCAGGCTCCATTAAACGACGGTTCGCTTCTGACAATGAGCCAGCAACTGGTATTGGTAAAATTTCTTCCTACAAAAATTTAATTTGAAATTTTAAGAAAGTACTGAATTGTATTAAAAAAAATTGACGTAAAACGCTGATTGAAAGTCAACTGGATCATCATATGCCAACAGATAACTTACAAGGTTCATTAATTGTTTTACAAATGATCCTGGAAGTTTCAAAGTTCTTTCATCAGTATATAGCCGTAACAGCCTTCCAATGAGGTACAGCAGTCCCGCATGTCGAGCCATTGCTCCTTCGTTACCAGGAATAAATGACAACCCCCGCAAAGCATTCGAAACTGCTAAGCAACGTTTTACCTAAATGAAAAATTATGTAAAGACAAAACATCATAAAATCATTCTAAGAAATTCTGCATCTTCAAATTAAATGATATACAAATCCAAATCCCAAAGCAAAATAAAAGGTAGTATTGTGCGATTATTCAATCTGTGTGCTTACAATATTCAAGTCATATTTACACTGTTTATTAATTTTCTTGATCACTTGTACATCGTATCTTGTTGCCACGAAGCTATCGTGACACAATGTTATTTACTTATTAAGTCATTTGACTTACAAGTTCTGATCGTGATTCATCAGGGACACATAATGCTGTTGGCCGCACTGTCTTCAACTCGACAACTTTTTTACAGTCATCTTCATCATCATATTTTTTCAATTCAGACGGAATAATTCGCATTGACTGCAAAGATGCAAAACTTGAAACGTAGTCAGTTTATAAGTACTTAATGACAGATAAAAATGAAGCAAAAAAAAGCGCAAATGTGTCATAAAATAATAATAAACCGTCATTGATAAAAGGCGTAATGAATGCATAATTTTCAAATTAATAGTACAGATCTATTTTAGCACCTTATCCACATTGCTGTCGTATGTTGTCTCATTGATGTCCACCTCTTCTTTTTTAGTTGCATATGATTCTTTCACAAAAAATTTTGGCTTTTTCAGCTGTTTTTTAAACTCTACAATTTTTGTCAAGCGAGCAGCTAGATATGAAGACGTTTCTCCTCCAAGGCCATTTATCATCCGAGAAACATGATAATCCGGTAAAAGAGTCTCTATAAATGAATTAAATAGAAGAAATAATTTTCTGTCATCCAATTTAAAAAATGACAATGCTTGTACTATATGAAAAATTTTTTCTTACTTAGATACACAAAAATCAGATACTATAACCAGGAAAATGCGCCAGAACTTAAAAACATCTTATAAGTAAAAACGAAAACATTACCATCTAATACATCACACGACCAATCGCTAGGTCTAGACCGCTTCAGACACTCAGGATCTACTTTTTTCTCCAAATGCACTGCCCGACCTGTATAAAATCCATGAATTTAGTTCAGAAATATTCACACTGTTCCATTACTCAGTAATTCAATTAATGTGGTAATTTCATACTTGAAACTGGCACTTTTTTTCTGAAGCGCTGTTTATCATTTTTAAGAAATTTCCTTTGTATCTTTTTAATGCTGCTTGAAAAGGAAAAGTATGAATCGACAGTTGTCATATCAATGAAATACCAAAAAAAAACTACCTGTACGCGATATTTTTGTGAAATTTGTTGGCTCATTTCTCGAGTTCCGCGGACTAACCAATGAACGTACTACAGTATGATTCGATGGTGAAGGTGATGGCCAAAAATCTTCTTCTTCATCGTTCACAGTTCGTACTTTTGATTCTTCACCAACCTAAAAAA